GCGCAGACGAGTGCTTCCCATTAGATACTCACAGACACCAAAAATAGACACTCCATTACTGCAGCACATTAGCTGATGGTAATGATAGGGCTCTGCTTACTAGTTCAGTTACATACTGGCAATCTGGCCACTTTGCATGCTTTATTTACCAGGTATTAATTGCAACTTCCACTTATCACCCCCAGCCTAAATCACTGCATTGTCTGTTGCAACGGTCAGACATTTACTTATTTTTGCTTTTATTATTAGCATCAGAAAACTCAATTACAGGCAAGCAGGCATGTATATACATAAACACACAGTAGTAGGTCTGTGCTGATGTTTTTAAAGATACACATCTGCTGATACTAAAAATAGGTCCTTGTCAGCAGCTTGGTAATTTTAGGCTCAATGAGAATTCATCCCCATGGTAACTGTACAGTTGTTGAATCATTTATTATTTGAGCTTCAAAATCACAACAGTGCTGGCAGTTTTTATCCTCTGAACATTTTTAAGGACCTTTTGCAGTGTTGCAATACTTCTTGCTCCACACCATCAATATTTATCAGCAAACAGCTCTAGCCCTTGAACTGACTACCTGCTTCTCCTTGGACATACTGGAGCTGGAATACTTGATAGCAGGATGGCAGTTTAAATAGGTTTCACTTTTGTGATAACAGCAGTCCTGCAATGTGGCTGTTTGGCCAGTGATGGCACACACTGAGCCCTGCAAACTCCTGATTGGTAAAATGAAACTTTAAGGTGTTGACCTGAGCCTTGGTCTATGTCTTGAGAGCCAGAAAACAAAGATATCTCAGGTCCCTCTGTTGCAAGAGGTTTTGTAGATAAGAGGCTGGTAGTTTTTAGCCTCACAGACAGATGTCATTGACCCCAAGCCGGTGGGGGGGACACATTGCCTGGCTTCATGGAGATAAAAGCTGTTTGTACTTTCCCTTGCTTTCAGATAACGCTCATCAGCCACCTTGTGCTAAACCCAAGAGAAGTGAGGCCACTTTGCTGGCAAAACACAAGGTGAAACTCAGGTCCCCTGAGCCCAGGGGTTGCTCAGACTCTGCTGTCATGGAATCTCCAGGGAGTGGGACCAGGATAAACTCTGTGAGGTGGGGCAGGGGAACTGTGAGCCCTGTCAGGCTTGAAGCAACAGAAATAACTCAGCATCAGAAACACTTCCAATAGCACACAAATGCATTGAAATGGGCTGCCTGAGACTGGTTTCAGAACGGACTAAATCACAGACATCAGCTCCCTCACCAGCTGCCTGCACGACTTTTGTTGCACCATTGCTGGCCATTAGATTTACTGGAGTGGGCAACACAGAGAGAGCTGTTAAGTTTTAGGTAGAAGAGGTTCAGTCCCTTTTAGTCTGACAAATGGATCTGAAAGACTGACCCAGAAACTCAGACGCTATTCCCAGGTGCCAGCAGTTGTAAAATGATACACTTAACAGAGCTGATTCCTTCTGGGTTAAGCATTATAGCTATTATACACTGTCATGACTGATGCTGTGTTTTTAGATCAAATGCACTTTCATTGTATGAGCTTTTAAGAAGCTCTTGAACAAGGTAATCCACAAGGTGCTTTTAAATTGCCTTTCATCTTATTAGTTCAGTTGAGTTGAACACAACAAAATAAGGATGTGCAGGCACCTTGTACAGCTGCTGTGCAGCTGCCTTCCACCTTAAGCAGCTTTCTGTAAATCTGTCAGTACCCAAAGCATGTTGTGCATCACCCATATGGGATTTGTCAGGTGACCCTGGTGTGCACTGCAGGGAAAGGCAGCTTCTGCCATCAAGGGAAGCTCAGTTTACCCTCCCATGCAATTGTATGATCACCATTTATGTCAGTTCGAGTCACCTACATGCCAAGAGGCAATACAGTGGTTTTTCCATGGGCAGGAGCAGGAGAAAGTGGCCCATCCACAAACCAATCCCCAGCACTGAAGTTCTCTCCTGGACAAATGGCAACTCTTCTTTGTTCTTTATTCAAGCATCTGGTTGCTAAGCCTGCTCATTTAATTAAACCAGAAAGTTCCTTCCCTCCATTTGGTTCAGCTGCTATACATTTATCCCAGAGCACATACAGAGACAAATTTGGAAGACACTGCCTTTTTTTATTTCTACCTACCAGCCTCTATCTTCTCAGTATGGAAAGCACACTCTGTGGCTGTGGCCTCAGCTGGTGGAGGCAATGCCAGGTCTTGCCATGCCACAGACACACATTTCAATAGCAGAATTACTTGCCTGTAGCATCCAAAAAGTTGGTCACAGCTCACAGGTTTTATAATGAGTTGGGAGGGAGAGAAAAATCACCTGCACAATGCACTAGAAGCAGAGTTTCTTTTCAAGCCCATTGTGGCCAAGAGCTTGGTTCCAAGCAGTTTTCCCCAGTTGCCACACTGTGCTGGGTGGGCATCTCGGCTCTGCCCCGCAGACTGCTGCCCACGGAGATGGGGTGGCTGTGCCAGAACCCCCCCCCAGCTCCTCCCAAACACTATTTTCTCCACAAAGAGTGAAGATCTGAGTAATTACCTCAAATACGCTGTTTCTGCCCTGTGATGTACAGCTAACCAAAGCACCCAATTTTGCATTGCCATTATTTATTTATTTTTACCTTCTTATACTTTTTTGATCCTACCTGGGAGGGAGCAGGGGGAACAACATCCACAGCGATGCTGTGTGATGCCCCAGCAGCGTTGCTGACTAAGGGCCCCCACGGCCCATGAGGTCCCAGAGTGGTTGTAACCCAGGGTCCCTGCACAGCCATCCCCCCAGGTACCTGCGCAGTCAGAAGCCTGCACCAGGCACCGGTGAGGGTGTTATTGAACCTGCAGAGCAGCTGCAATTCGTGAACATGCGTGGAAAGGAGACCCACCTTGCCTGAAGCTTGGAGGTCAGGTTGGGTTTGAAACTTTGAGTGCAGTCTCCTTGAACATGGACTGCTTTTTAACCTGAAGTCAGAGAGAAATAATGTCATTTCATCATACTATTTTTGCAGTTGCTGCCTGAGAAAGAATCAAGTGTTGAAGCCCATCTATCAGCTCTTTCTTACTATTTTTTCCCATCTGGTTGTAACTGTATTTTCCATCTGAGATACTGGTTAATAAAAATAGTTCATCTACGATTTGTATTAGAGTAGTGGCAAGAGTCTTTTTGCCAGAGATGGCTTATGAGCAGTGGGGTGCTCTAGAAATGTTGTCACCTCATCACTTTGTGCCTGCTTTGATTTCTCCTCTGTGATGCAATAAGACTGGCTGGGACAAGCTTCTGCCCCCCATTCACCTGTCACAGGAAGTCTTGGTTGAGTGTGGGGCAATTCAATGTGTTAGTGCTATCATCAGGGAGAGAGCAGAGCACCGTGCCTGCAGCTTGCCTTCATTAAACTTTGCCTGGGATCCTGTGATGTTTTAGTGACAGTCCAGTATTGCTGGCGGTGCTACTTCAACTCCCTGCTCGTCCCCGGCTCTGCAGTGGGGCTTCCTTGTGTGCAGCTACTGCTGTTGATCCAACTCCAAACTGTGTTCAGTAATAGCAAACTATTGCAGTAAAGATCTCCATTGTTTCTCTATGCCCATGGGTGCACTTTGACCCTTAGAGCCATGCCCAGGTCTCAGAGTGGTGTGTGGTTGCACAGGGCTTGGTGCAAGCATAGCTGGTGAGGAGGAAGGGATTTTCAAAGGGGGTTGCTGTCAGGCTATGACATCATGGCCCCGGGCTATGAATGAGGGCATGCTTTGTAGGCAGAGGTGATATGTTTCATTAATCGAAGTGATAAAAGTTGAAAAAAAGCCCAAAGTTTGGGCATGATATTTCTGTGTTTCAGATATCTCATAGGCAGTCACAGCCAGTCAGGGTATGATTTATTGGACTTCATGTGGGCTCCTTGCTCAGTTATGGCCATTCAATCAGTCCTCTCCCTCAAGCCCAGCCAGGCTGATGGGTGCAGCCACATTTCTCACATCACTAAATGAAGAAGTGGGGGTGGTATTCAATAACTTTTCTCAGTGCAGCCACAGTGCTTTTTCAGCTGTTTTCCAGCTCGGTTCTGTAGCCAGTGCTTTGGCCACATGTCCTTTCAGCAGTGTTTGCTGCGACTCTGCTACTGAAGTCTCTCATTGCAGGATCTCCCACAGCAGGAGAGGATTACACATCCCCTGGGGAGATGCAGCTACTACACCAAGTAACTGCCACACAACATGCAAGAACCACAGGAGAACAGTTTTTATCACCATGCTCCATTTACACCATGAAAACAATTTCTTTTTCCTCTGTTTCCTTCAGTACAGCATGACCTTCCATCAGCTTCACAAACCAAGCAGGGCAGAGGTAGTGAAGGCAGGTGAAAGCAAACTTATTTTGTTTACGGTTGCTCTGATTGCCCAGGCTTGTTTGCCAAGTAGCCCATCTTTGACCTATGGTGTGTAGAAGGATCACTCATCTCCCTTTCTAGGCAAGGATGCAGGGAAGAGCAGTTGTTTGCATCACTGTTCAAGTAATTGACAATAAAACAACACCAACAAAAGGAGTCTGTGCAGATCCATGAGCTGAATATGCCTGTCTGAGCATACACTGACCTAACCCGTTGCTGTAAGGCAGTGGCAAGCCCAGCAAACACCCAGGCTCCTTACCTGAGCATGGGAGTGGAGAGTGGTAGGGGCTGGATAGGAAATGCTGGGAATAGGACCGTGCCAGCCCCTCGTCCTCTCTTCTGGGGCAGTGCTTTGGGTCTTCTCACTGCACCTTTTGTCCCCTTCTCTCCAGCCTGGCCTACTCCATCTGTGAGGGGCACAGCCCAGCTCTATTCCCTCCCAGCTCCAGAAAGGTCAAAGAGGTGACCCCCAGAAAAGCAGAACAGGACAGAGACAAGTGGAAGCATGGAAAAAGAAAGGAAAGAAAAACTTTCTCCATGTAACACAATAATTTTAAATATAGTCTTTATGAAAGTACAATATATATTTTCACATATTTTTTTCAGATTAATTCCAGTTATTACCTTCATATTACATATTCTTTACACATCCAAACCAACAAGCAATAGATTCACATCTCAAGTTCAATCAATACTCTTAATCTCAGAGAAAGTTACTGTGTGGAATTGGACTTTCATCTTTACTGATGGAGTTTCAGGCTTTCCTTCTTAAATAAATAAAATTGCCTCCAGCTGAGAACCTCCTAACTGAAGTAATGGAGATATTCAGAGATAGTTGGGAAATCTCAAAGCTTTGCTAGTTTTGCAAAAAGAAAACAGAATATACACACATTTCCCCCCTTTGCAGAAATCACATAACTTTTAGTTTGCCTGTTTTCTAAAACCTGCACCCATTATAATGAGGGAATATTATTTTCCTCAGCTTTAGGTTAAATGAACTCCAGTTGTAATCAATTAAAACAGTTACTGAAAAACTGTATAAAGAATTCAGTTCTGAAAATAGAGTCTAAAGACTCCCAAATACGAGAGCTCGTGAAAAATAACACAATCCCCAGCTCATATTGTATATATTAAGATGTACAGTTCACTTGCTAACATCTGAGGCCAGGGTCCTAAGAAGAAAGCAGTATCACCACAAACAAGGCTGGAGGGGACCTGAAGAGGAGATCTTGTCCATGTCTGTATCTGACAGTGGGACCAGCTCTACTAGTCCCATCTCTAATGAGTGCTTGGCCAATCAGTCCCAAAAGATTACCTGGGTGGAGACTGAGCAGCCTCCCCAGGCAGTTCAGAGCGGTATTTAACTACTGCTGCTATAAGAAGGTTTGTTCTGATCCCTTAATCTGCCTCTGTAACTCCATCCCTTCTCTCCTGGTCCCATTCACAATGGGAAGAATTTATTCCTTCTCTCTTCATAGCCATAACTTTAATATACTGTTCTCATACCGCAGTCTCCTTTTCACCAAATGAAGCAATCCCAATGCCTTCAGCAGGCCTCCAGGAGCAGTTTTCACAATCTCTCTGTTCGCTCTGCAGTTGATCCACGTTTTGCAATTTTTGGCTATAACTTTTTGCTAAAGTTTTACCAGCACTGTATAGAACACTTGGAAAACATCCCAAACTAAAGGCCCATGTGTGTAACCCAACATGAAGTATGCTTTTGTTTTTCAGAAGCATTTAATTATTGTTGCATTCAGTTCGTGATTTATTTTTCCAAGCCTTTTCTGGACTACTTCTTCCCATCCACTCACTCCCTGTCTGTATTTGCACAGTTAATATGTGAAGACTCCATTCCACCATCACTGCCCCAGTGGCTCATATAGGCTAATGTATAACTATTAATTTATAATCATGCTACAAAATGAAAGGCAAAACCATCTTCTCAGAAAGAAAGAAATACCATTTAAAAATATTTTGCGCCAATAAATCATGTTTGATGTACTCGTGCTTACAGAACAGTGATTTTAAAAAAAGGCTCTGTCAAATACTTCAGAGTGTAACAGCTTGCCAGGAGAAAATGTAAATCTAGATTACTATGGCTGTAGTGAGTGGGGGAGGGTGGCACATTGAAAAGAGAAGTGAAAAATAATAAGGGAAGAATGAAAGGGGGAGACTATCACTTGTCTAGAACAGTTTTCCTACTTTGCCACCCCACCATCCTTGTTTTTTGTTTTTTGGTTTTTTTTTATTCCCCTTTACTTCCTTTCAGAGATAGCAAGGCACTGTTGTGGATTTGGGCTCATGGGAACTAAATACAGGAGGACTCTAAGCACCACAAACCCGAAGTGCTTGCAGCCCTCACTTCTGCAATATTTATTTTGAACATGCCAGAGAACCTATCCACTTTGCAACTTTTAGACCCACAAATCTCTTTATTTCAGGGTTTCCTTCCCCCTTTCTTCAGTAGAAATGATGAGTGTAATTGCCATGGAAAGACATAGTGATCTAACCCTCAGCCTGAAGCCCAGTCTCAGGGCAGGCAGGGAGACCAGAGGCTGCTAAAAGTTATTTAAGTAAGAGCACATTTATCACCTGATTTCTCTGGTAAGAGTGACAGTTGTGGTGCTGGGTTACTTGCTCTAGTTCAGAGAGAGACTAAGCTCAAACTACCATCCCTGAGTGATCCTCCTTTAAAGCAGATAAGGTGCTGGGTCTTACTAGAGATCACAATTCCTTCTCTTGCATGAAAGGCTGTCAAACACCAAGCAGGGTGGGTAGAGCAGGAAGTGGAAAAATAAAAGTAGTAGCACAGGAGAGACATTAACTACATTTCTTGTTTTCTGACTAAGCAGAGTGAGCAAAGTTTGAAAATGCATACTCCTGTAAGCCTTTTAAAATTTAAATACCTGAGTGCATATGAAAAAGCATACAAGAATCAGAGACAAAGCATTTAACATCCCACACGTATACTTTTACAAAGTTACAGCATTTTTCCCCTCAGATAATCCATTTTACATTCCTAATTATTTCTGCACTGTATAAAATATGCCTGCATATAAAGTTTACAAAGGCCTCTTTTGCACAGTTTAGACATACATACAAGCCAAAAAAAAACCCCACCTTTTTTTTATTAAAATGTCAAGTGCACAATTAGAGGTTGTAAAATACTTTTTTAATTAAAACAGAACTGTGTGCAAAATTAGACAAAAAAAGACTTTTTTGCTATTTCAAAGAACATAGATCAGAATTTTAGGTTGAGGCTAAACTATGTCTGTGTTAAGAGCAGCTGAATACTTCATCAAGGAGAAACCCTCAAGGACTTGCGTGATTTCAACACCTGTGCTCTCAATGAAGGGCTTAGTGGTCTGTGTGTGCTTGTTTGAAAATTGGGCATCAACTTGAACACAGAGATCCATCTGCTGATTTCCAGAGTTCTGGTGATTTTTCTCTTGAGCACAACTGGCTTGAGAAGCAGTAAAACTGGGAATGTAATGATAATCTCCATCTATGCTTGCTGTGTTTGTTCAAAACATCAGAAAGGGTGGAGGAATCTGCACAAAAGAGTTGTGCAGGTCACTGAACACCATGATAAAAGCAAATATTTATTTTTTGATTTCCAAAATATCAAATATTTGTTGAAGAACCCAAAGCTTTAGTTTTCACCTTACACACACAGGATTTCAGTGACATTGCCTATTAAGATAACAGTGCTTCACTAGGAGTATGCCAGAATTAATGCAATTATCACAAGACCTTTTACCTCTCAAGGTGAAGTTTTACAGTCAACTCCAACACAGCAATGCCATTACTGTCCCTCAGTGTCTGCTTTGTTCACTTCAACCTTCCCATCTCTGGGCCAACACAGGTACTCACACAGCTAAACTGTAAACTTGCTGAAAACGGATTAAGAGGCAACCCCCATGGGATCTTCCAGTTAGATCAGCTTCCCAGCCTAGTCACTGCATGGCAACACCCACTACAGACAAACAGCTGCGGGGTGGGAAGCTATGCAGCATAGTTTAGGCCGGGATGCTAATGAGCACCTAATTATGGCCTCAGACTGTCAGCTGTAGGGATGGGGTTTAACTTTATCAGCCCAGACAAAAGCCAGCCTGTTAGCCAACTACTTGAGATGGTCACTTCTGCAAAGCACATGCAAAAGCAGCACACTTTGAGCAGGTGACAGTGAGGTGATGCTGCAGGTAAAGATTCTGCCCAGAAGTAGATTATACACTGGGCTAAGTTACCTTTGCGTCAAAAGCAGGAGAACAAAACAGAAGACTGAGGGGAAGCTGAAGAATGAGCAGAGGAAAGAAAAGGGCATAAAAGTTCTTTGACTATATGTTTTTAAAGGACTAAAGATTACAGGACCATTTCTCATAAATATATTTCTATACTTTCCTCTGAGACTACAGCACATGATAAAGCACCTCGTGCAGTCACCAATACATTGCTTTGCAGTTCAACTTGCATTTTTCTGCACAAGTGCTTTCTGGGTGACTTCACCCTTTGACTGTTCCTATACAGAAGATCAAGTAAACCAAGCTTGAAAGGCTCAAGTGGCCTGATCAGAAAGCTCACAAAGGCAAGAGAGTAGCTGCTGTTATACAAACACAGTTTACTTCATTGCTACAATTTTACATCAGCACGAGGCTTAGAAATCAGATTCTGTAGTTACCTAAGAAAGTAGCTCATTCTGCCTAACCAACACTACATCCTAGTGCATTGCTAGAAGTAACATCATCTCTGCACTTTGTTCCACAGAGGAAACTGTCTCTGAGGATCTTTCTCTCAGTACTGGTATTAAAGCTTGAAGTAGCATGCATTTGAAGCCCTGGGAAGCATGTAAAGCAGCAGCCCTTACAATGACTGGAGTAGTCAAAATCTTTTAAATGATGGCTTTAACAGCCAAGGCTTTATACATTGCAGCATGACATTCTAGAAATAGGAAAGACTAGTTGTGTTCCCAGGGCAGCAAATGAAAAGTTATGTTGAATATAGTGGTTATCTGAAGCAAACACTATGATGCACCCAAAACCCATCTCCTGGGGTTCATATCCTTACCTTCTCTAAGGAAGTCTAACTGCTGGGGCCTTTAAATGCAAATCCATTCTTTGGACACTGTCCTGGCAGGATCATTTGTGTGTACAAGTCCATCCTCTGCTGCATACTACAAACACAAGTTAAGATAGAAGCAATCAGAAGCCAAACTAGTGCAGAAGAGAGCCAGCAGCTGGCTATGCAACCTTAACCTTTCTTAAAGCCCTGGGCAGACAAAGTTCAGGGCACAATTAGACATTCATAATGCTTCCATCACCACAGCATCAAGAGCAATTCAACAACAGAAACCACACTGGGGTAATCAGCCTCCTCTAACAGCACAACACAGGGGTGCACACAGTATTTTGTCGAAGATCACTGCCTCCAGACCCTGGCAGTCACAACTGACTGGTCTCACGAGAGTGTCCCTGGAGATCAGAGATGAACACATCTCCTGCAGAGCCACACACATTCTCAAAGTCTCTAAGGGAAAAGTTAACAAATTCACTACTTGGAAGATTTGCATAGACCACTTATCCTTCAAGTTGTCCTAATACTGAAGGATGCCACTGGCTACTCCTACTTATTATACAATTTTAAGATGAAAGTTAAAAACAATGAAACAAACTCATTCCCCAAAGAGCCCATACTTCTTGCTCAGAGCCACCTTGATAATTTTGTTCTATCTCCTGAGCATGGCTTCAAGCACCTACCCATTTCCATCACCATTTTCATGCTATTCCTTAAACCTAGAATAACCTCTTCAAACTACACTAGAAAGGTAGTTCCCAGACTGCCTCCACTTCTGTTCTCCAAATTCAAGGCTATGAAAATATCATGAGAAAGTTTCTGCTGGGCACTATCAGTCTTCCCTTTGCTTGCTTATATTTGTGTTTAAATCCTTAGCTAAGATAATATTTATGAAGACTGACTTTAGCCCAAAGGCTACTGCCCCAAGATGCCTTGTGGAAGACTCCTCCCTCACTCCCCATGAGACCTACAGTGTTAGCCTATATTCCATCTCTCTAAGTTAAAGTTCATCTTCTTGAGTGCCTCTGCAGCTTCTAAGTCTAGTAGCTGCATTTGCCTCCAAGCATGTGTTCTCATCAGTTTTCAGTCTTGCCCTAAGTTCCCACCATTTGCAAAGCCCTGGGTCATCTTTATGGAGCACAGTATCGAAGGGGATAGTTTAGTCACAGCAAACGACAAACAAATCCAGCAGAAAAGCCATTCCTGGACACAGCATAAACATGTTTGTGGCTTCTCTTCAAACAAACCTTTTCAAAGGGTTTCACAAAGCAAATGAAATTCAATGAAGTTTAACATCGTGAACAACTATCCGTGTCTAGGAGAGTTGCTTTTTCCATTTTCCATAGGAACTGCTTATAATGCTTTTTTATCTCCACAATTTTGTGTTCCTGGGTACCTTTGTGAATAATTCTTCACTAAACAGCAGAGATAGTCTGATGCCAAGGACAAGACATGTAATCATTTCTATCAATTTTGAGCCTATTGTCAGAAAAACAGCTGTAGGAAGGTTTTATGCTGTAGAGTAGCATTCTCATACAAACTCATCACAACATATCTCACTAATGGTTTCCTGCATGCCTTTTCCATGATATTAATAGCCATACCAATCCCTAAAAAATATTACCACAGTCAATATACCTATGTACTACTCAGTTTCTTAGACACAAGATCCAGGGGTCACCTAATGACACTAATGAGGCTGAAAATAAGTCTTCCCCCTTCCATTCAGCTTTGGAACTTATTGCCATCACATGCTGTCTCCAACCCCATTTTTTTTAAAGTAGCTACAGAGTAAGGATATGAACCCACGGCAGATATGTCCATCCACAGTTTGGATGTCAGATCCAGGCCAACAGTCTCTATTACCTATCTGCCAAATATACCTGAGGGAGGAACTCTCCAGAGCTGCCAGCAAGGCAGTATTTGCTTCCATTCACTTCTGTTTCATGGACTTTTTAGACACAGCATCTTCTGCGGTCAATGGAAACTGTGGGATAGTAAAGGTTAGTGCCATGAACGAACGTGCTTGTCTTGCTTTAAAGCAATATTAGTGCCACAACCATATAATTTATTCAGGAGTAATAAAAATTCTTTTCTGCCCAAAATACTCCATTTGTAGATGACAGAAGCTTTGATATTCTTTGTCAGGTCTTTCATAGCCTTGTTCCAATTGCCACAAAACTGTAGCTACTTAACTGTTTTGTTTTGAATTGGCAGTTCCAGAAAATATCCTCTTTTTGCTAAAATGCCATGTAATCCACATGACTATCCATCTACTGCTAGACACTTGTATATATGTGTAACATTTAATAAAAAAAAAAGAATTATTTTGCCCTTGGATTTAGTGAGCAAGATGCACCCCTCGAGCCTATTTGCACCTGCACAGCTTTATAAAAAGAGTGTCATTAACATTGGGTCCTTTTGGCCAGCCAGCTGAGGCTACCAGAAAGGATAATTTGTGCATCTGAGGTAACAGAGAACTTAAGATATAGAATAGTTTAAGTTTTTCTAGAATTCTTATGAGAACAATCCCATTACTTCCAAAACTAACATGAAGAGTAAGGAAAGAGACCTTTTGCCAGCTTTCTTTGCAGAGTTCTTATTAGTGGGGATAAAGAGCCCAGTCCCCAAAGTAGACCATGATGCAGCTTTCTTAAGTAAACTAATTTAGTAAGTCAATACAGAGGTAGCTTGTATCACCACTAAAAAAAAAACCCAACAAAAAAACAAAAAAAAAAAAAAACCCCCCCAACAACAACAACAAAAAAATCAACCAAACAAAGCACCATAAAACAATGAGACAGACTCCTTGGGCAATCTTGCTTTCCTTCTGAAACACAGCTACAGCCCTTGTCTTTGGGACATATCACTGTTAAACTGAAGTTCCTCTGCCTCCCTGGCCTTTGCTGAGAGACAGGCACAAGAACTTGCAGTAGTGGCCATGACAGCTTTACCTGGTGCTCCAGAGAACAGCTTTCCCACCATCTCGGCCACTTGGCCCTGCTACTGTGCTTCCATATGCTTTCCCCTCAGCTTTGGTGGGACAGCATTTGCTGGGGCAAGAGCACTTCCCTTTCAGTTTTCTTCCTCCCCCTTTTTTTTATCATTCCTTCTACAGGGTCTTTCTCTGTTTCAAGGAACATGGAAACCTGTTTAAAACTAGCTATTCAGCCTGCTGGCTCTGCCCTGCAATGGTAATTAGCACTTGCTAATTTGTAACTCCACCTTGGAGATAAAGGTAACAGCTTCAGCCACGGGTTAAACTAAGGGTGCTATCTGCTCCAATTCCCTTAGGGAATTTAGGGACTGCTCCCAGCCAGGTCCACCCCCAGTCTGAGGGGTGACAACCTCCTAGAGAAACAGCAGTGACTTAGAGTGGTCATGTTTCCAGATGGAAAAGCAGGCGATAGAGGAGATGGGTAGTGAAAAGTGTCCAGAGAGGGATACAAGACAAACATTACAGTCTATCTTCCCTAATTAAACAAATCTCAGGAACAAATACTTGCACATTTTACATCAGGTCAGACAGAATTTCTACAGTTGTTCTTAGTAGTTGCATATCACTATATAATGATGCAGTGCAAGGATTTAACTCTTAATACCCATCCAGTTCTTGAAATCAAACATGGTATGAAGCATTTCCCAATGCAAACCTCTTTTCCTTATGAATTGATCCTTCTTGGATCTAATCAGGCAGATTGGATTTTTTTTCCAATCAATATTTCTGAGATTGTTGTATTCTCCAAAGACCCTCAAAATAAAACATAATTAAGTTTCAGAAATCAGTTTTGGATGCAAGAACAAGTTTTCACATCTTCTAAAGGTTGATGTTGCCATTTATACCCTTAAAGGGATCCCAAACATTGATCACTAAAGTATGTGGAAACATTGAGGATCATTGTCTCTCCTGATTTCCTAACATTTTTCCATTATACATTTGCTTAACAGATACAAATATCCAGAAGGAAGCTGTGGTTTATATTACAAGTGGGTGTGAGTTGGGAGCAGTCAGCACACATAGCCAAGCAGGTTTTCAGATCTCTGCCAAGTATCTTGCAGGTCAATCAACAGAACCACAGACATATCCAGCACTATTTGCACACAGGAGCAGATATGTGCCTAGACACCATCTAGAGGTTTCATTTCTCTCCCTGCAGATTTTCAATCCCTGTTTTTCCCATGACTTAGTTCTCTGTAGTCTTGAAAAAATTTTTTGTTTGTTAAGTATTAACTATTTTCTGCTTTGTGACAACAGATACTGAAGATAACCTTTTCTCAAGCTACTGATTGACAGCTTCTATTAATTTCAGGACTCTAAGACAGGTCCTGTGTTGCAGGATAGTCTTACTGCACATACCTCACTGTAATACACAGAGGAACACTAGTAGGCAAAGAAAACTTTGTCAAACTCATCCACTAGCATTTCAAGATTAAATTATCCCCCCCTTTGTGAGGTCTAGGAAGCTCAGCAGACTCTAAGCAACTCTGAAGCACCCCAAAGTCAGATTCTCTGATTGAAGCCAGCAGAAGGACCAGAAAAAGCAATAGACACACATCATCCATTTTGACAGATCAGTCCAAAATCCAGTGAACAGCAGATTTTTTCAGAGACTGTAAGGGATTTTCAACTACTTCTTTGGCTGGCACAGGACATGGGTATAATGTGCACACATACACAAGCTTGCAGCATAATGCCTATAATGTTCATTGTTGGAAAGCAGCCCCAAATCAGGAGGAAATGCACCTTTACTATAAGGCTTTTTTAGAAGTGGTTCATACAAAAGTTTGAGAGAAGCAAAACTAGTGAATTTTGTAGTATAATTACCAAAGTTGAAAGTTTTAGCATGGTACTTTGTTCACAAAAACTAACAAGACATGCTATTAGCAAAAGTATTTACATAACCAGAATAATTTTCCTTTTCCAAAACTGAAATGTTTATCCATTTAAAGAAAGGCCATGTAACTTGACAAATAGCAGGAGTAGTAGCACTAAACCATCAGGTCATCCGTTAATCAAATAGAAACATTTAGATCCCCATGACTGCTGTTTAATCATGGACAAATATCACAGACTCTGTTCTCAACAAAGAAGACTAAAAAAAAGCTTTCAGGTCCAAGGAGCCTTATTCCAAGATCAACCCAACTCTACCCCTGGAAACACCAAAAGCCCCTTCAGTACAGATGCCTTCCCCACATTTAACCAGATAACCTGCTGTCCACTCCATCTGACTACAGCAATCAGCTTCCCAGCTGTGTAAGTTGATGGTAGCATGATGACAAGAAGCAGTGGGAATGGAGTCAAACACTTTCTGCCCTGGGTAGTGTTGGGACTTTTAACACACCCCACAGAAGGCTGCTTCTGAGTAAAGAGAAGTATCCAGCAATATATCTTTGTGCCCTGAATAACCTGAGATCACCGCAGTGTTTAAGAGAGCCACTTGCATGGATGACACACATGCCTTGAGGCACAACAGACAGATCTCTCCCACCACTGAATTGTGTTGTAAATAAGAAAAAGGAAAAACCACGCTCAAACTGATCTCTGCAGCAAACTTGAGCAATGTTCTAATCCCTCAGACTAATCCAAATGTTTTACCAGCTAGCAGAGGAAAAGTCAGAAGACAACAGTGAGAGCTGGTAGCTGAAAGTCAAGTGATTCAGTATGTTACACAAACAAAAGGAAGAATCCATGGTGCCATTTTGTATGGTGGGTTGAGTAAATCTTGGACACTTGCTACCAGCAGAAACATTTTTACAGGCTTACCAACTTGGAAGGAAGGTGGAGTTCATTTTGTTTTTTCATTTAAATAATTTTACTATCCTGATATACACATACCTATTGATCCTACAGATACCCACCTTTCTACTGCTTTTCAGACACCATGGTAATTTTACTAATTAAAACCTACAAACAAAGGGATAATGACAGCCTATGGAGGCATGCAACAATTAATCTTCCCTGTTAATGCACTGCTCCTCCAACAAAATACAGTAGTAGTTCAAGGCACCCCTACTGTTCTAATCCTTGGCAAGCTACATTCATTTACAAAAGTGAATCATTAAGTGTCCCACCCAAGAAATCATTCCGGTGACAAGTTTGTGCCATTAACTAAAGAGTTGAAGTTATTTTGACAAATTCATGATGGAAACCAGCTCAATATGAGCAAGGATAGGTAATGAAGAGTTCCAGATTCTGCCACTTGATGTAAACATGTGAACTCCATCTGCTGGACAGCAACTGAAAGCCACCAGTAGGCTTTTATGCCCATTCACTGCAGATGTGATCTCACGCAATCCAAGCTGACATAGTTAGTACAATAATAATAATAAAAAAGAGTGCAAAGAGTCTAAGAGCTGTGGTTCCGAGTGTTGCTATGATGCTGTGAGTACAACTAAGCTGATGAAGAGGTTTTGTTTCTGGCTGCTGCTGTTATCCATCTGTGACAAAGCTCCCAGGCTAAATACACATATGGTTGTTTCCTAACCCAGTTCTGTCAAGTGATGCTGGTTAGCCAGACAGAGATACACAAACAAAGCTGTTGGCAGCAGCTCTGACTACTATCGCTCTGATCCAGCCTACTTGTTTCTAGCTTTGCCAGTTTTAAACTCCATCTAACTTATTGGTGCTTCAATATAGATCTGAGCAATGACCAAGGTAGGAAAAAGCCTCACTTGTTTTCCATGATGATCATTACAGAGGATCTGATCCATCACAGAGAACAAGTGAGTTTTTTCTAACCTTAGTTGTATTACTTTTACACACCCATACTTCTGTAGGTATGCATACATAAATATTAATGCTATATGTATGTTGCACATGTATATACAAGTTGATTAGTGTATAACAAGAAAAACCACACCTAATCCATAGCAGGAAGAGATGGAAGCAGACAGATGAGAACACTAAGATTACTCTGTATTTCCTTGTGCAGGAAATGTCATAATCATACCATTATTGCATAAAAAGACCTTTTAATTTAAACCACTCCAAGAGAGAGAACCGTATACACACTGGTACAACAGGGAGATAACCCAAACCTAGCCACTATTAGACCAGCACAACTGAATACAGCTAGAAACACATTAGAACAGGCCCACACTCTCAAGCAGTGCCTGTATCTCAAGACAAGTACTACAAAGGTGTGAACGAACAAGTTCTCCTACACACCTCAGTTCAACAGCACAAGAATTTACCATAGGAGACAGAACAGAAGAACACTTTTCTAGTTATTTTCAGTTCAAGGACTTCCTGAGCCAGGTGTGGTTTCTATGTATTCACTAACTCACAATGAATTTCCTGCCATGGAATTTATCCATCTTGTTTGAACACACATCAGTCTTCAGCTTCCACATCATGTTTTGGCTGAGTCCTACAAGCATACTACCCACTGAGTAAGAAGCTCCTCTTTCCACTGCACTATTTAAAGTACTGTTAACAAAGTACAAATTATAAATTTACTACTAGATGTATAGACTTTGACAGACACTTTTGAGGTTTTAAAGGTAATGCATAAAAGTGATAAAAATGGGATTAGAATTCAATAAATACAGCAAGACTCATCTTTGTTTTAAAACTGCATACCCTGTAGCAGTAGCTTTCAAGTTTGTATATGGTAAAAAGTTCCTGTAGAACATGTTAGCAATTGCCAAGTAGAGCAGTTATTCATTACTTTCAATGTACATATAGCACCTAGTACACTCATTTATTCAGGATTAGATAAAGAAAAACTCCTCCCTCCCATGAATCCTATTGTTCTTTCTTAAAAGCCTGGGACTAGACAGAGAATGAGACCACTGATTTGCTGTCAGAGCATGTTGCCAGATATAATTACAAGTTGAAGAGAGATATCAAAGACTGACAGATCCCGAATAACTTGCTCTCCCTCCTTTTCATTAGGAATTCACTAAAGCTATTTTAATAGCTTAGAAGGCATCCATTTCTTTACACAATTGGGTTTCATCACCAAAAGCTATAAGAGCATTAAGAAGAGAATAAGACTCATCATTAAGATGAGTCTGAGAGTTTCAGGATTTCTGATAGATACTGAAGACCAAAACAACACCTGCCTCTACATTGATTGTTGTGTGGAAAACAGAATTGGATTATTATAAAGCAACTTGACCTTGCAAAACACAAGTGGTAGAACCTTTTGGCAGCAGGTCAAAGAAACTTTCCCTATTTCCATAAGTATTCACTAGTTAGATTTATGAACCATTGTCTGATCATTAGCCACCAGCTCTGTATTGCTTTTCCATGTACATGCATTTAAATGGATCACTTAGTAGAGAGGATACCCTATTCTTTCCTGTAGCACATACTTAACATTTTTGGAATTAGATTTCAGAATCAGAAGACTACATTTAAGAGAGTTCTGATTGCTACATCAAAGGAACCCAATTACTTATTGTATCCTTTACAAAGCAAAGAAACTTGTCTAAAAAGTAACAAAACTTCATTTTTTAGAAAAAAAATAGCCCAAAATGTCAGCAACAAAGGATCACTACATCTACTGGAGTATATACAATTTGTCTGTAGATCAAACATTTACTCTGGATAGAAAAGCAATAGTCAAACACTGAATCTCACAACCCAGAAAGAAGTCGACTCCAGAAATTCTTCCTTATTTTCTTTAAGATGGAGGTACTTGTAATTGGCACAGAAGCTATGTAAGAATGGTTTCTTAAGAACAGCGAACAGCTATCAGACAAGAATAGAGAAAAGATATTTAGGGACTTGGGGCTGATCAGTCTGTAACCAACATATATGCCCACAGCCCAAGCAGCCAGCAACAGGACTCATATGGGACCCCATTCAGTGAGAGATCTGTGTGGGGCCTGACACGAAGCTTGCAGTGGCCAGTCTTATTTTAAGAAGTACAACATGTCAAAGTTATAACAAAACTATTATTGCTACATTTTCATGACATATAGAACTGTTATTGAGAAACTTGGTTACATTGCCAGTGCAAGTTTGGAATTTTATTTTTCTTAATCTTACATTAATGAGGCTGAGTTTGGTAACACATTATCATAACCATAAGACAGTTATTGAAGGCATTATAGAAATTAACTCATGAGTGAAGAAAACATTTTAATAGCAAAAACTACAACAGGCAGCTCACAGACATTGATTTAGTGTAAAGTAATAAGAAAACCTTTGTCATCTTACAGGTACAGGAGAGTCCATATTGCTTAACAGCTACCTAAGTAGCTATTCAGACCCTTCTCCAGAGACAAAAAAAACTCGAGTTCTTTAACAGATTCCCTGACAGTTGCTGAATGGTTTATGGCTTATAGGTAACATGGCTCTTTCCAAGGCCTCATGACTGCAGAGGGCAAATGCTATTCAGAGTTTTTGTTCTGTTGAAAACAGTTAATATATCCAGAAGAGTCAAAAGCACTTTGTTAGAGGTGTTTGAGGTCAGAAAGAATATATGCCTCTATATGCTTTACATATGCATTCAATACAGATATGCTTCAATGAAAAACTTATTTCTAGAAGTAAACAGTTTTCACCAAAAAGGTCAAAAGTTACTTTGGTAAAAAAAAACAAAAACAGGCAGAATTTCAGAAGTTGTTAGGGCAGACCTCCATCTACCCATTCTAAAGAGGGGCCAAGGGCTTCTTTATAGACATGGGAAGGAATACCACACACATCAGTTTCCACTGAGGGCATAACAATGCAAACTAACAAGCTTAAGAGGCATGTTAGGTAGATGGAAAAAGAAAAATCAAAAATATCCCACTTAAATGTGCGACCTAAGTTTAAAACAAAACCAAAACAAAACCAAGTAACCAAAAGCAGACAACAAACAAACCAACTCCAAAAAAACTATGGCTACCTGAAATACTCTAAAACTTGGAAAATCCTTAGATATCCTTAAATTTTTTTCCCTGAACAAGATACTGAACAAGTTGTTCTTGGTAACACAAGCCTTTAGCAGAGCAGACAATGTTCTTTTGTGAGCTTTGTGCATTTGCTGCAAAGAAAGACTTCTTTGTTCCTGCTTGGTTTCTCCTCTGCTTTACCTGGGGTAATATGCTGTGTAGTTCATGAAGAGCTGAGCCCCAGCAGGGTAGTAGGCTGTGGAGGGCTGGAGTGTTCGTGGGTTGAGAAGCATGGATGGCTGATACAGAGCAGCTTCTGTTGGCATAACTGCAGCAGGAGCGGGAAAGGAGTAGGAAGGGGGTGAAAGGCCTAAAGGGAACAAATGGAAAATAGATTAGGAACTCTTGAATTCCAGAGATAACAGACCATACATACACAACAACCCTGCAGTATGTCAAGAGCCTTCACAAGTTTCTCATTCCCTTACTCATCACAGAAAATAAATCTGAGCCACCAACATGAGCTTGATGATAAATGTTGTGTCCACCCCCCAGTCAAAAAGCAAAGTCAGGAATACACTAAAAGCCACCTCTTGCTCTGAAAACAGGGTATCTTTCTGAGGAGGAGGCCAATTTTTTTTGTTCAGGCTTAGATTTTAATGAAGTCTGTAATCAAGAAGTATGAGACTTCTCCACTGTAAGAAAGAAACTTCCATGATAAAGATCTAACATCCTCCAGGAGAGAGGACACTTTCATCCAGATATTCTCCATCCCTCAAACATCTGTCTTCAATTAATCCACAGCAGACCGAGCAGAGTCACAGCTTTGCAGCTTCAAGTGTTAATATCAAGTTTTAAAATAAAGCCAAAGTGCACTTTGTGGTGTTGCAACAAGATGTAAGGCCCTAAATGAATTCTCACTGATGAGAGCTCACCCTCCTCCTTTGCTATTCTCTTCTTTTGTTTCCCTCTTCTCCTCTCCAGTGTCATAAAGGTGAACATATAAAAGCTTTAAATAAAGTAAGCCTTTATTTTTGCTATTCAGAGTTAAAAAGACAGTCAGCAAATATTGTGAAATGGGGCAGTGATAGAGCCAAAAACCCTTATCTGAGGAATACATCACAAGCATTCGTAGTTGGAAATGGGAACACTGCCACCTAAGTGTTTCTGAAGTTTGGGACTCTGCCCAAGAACCTGTCCTAGGAGCTCAGAACATTCCAACCCCTGTCTGGAACAGCTGTCACACATAGGACTACATACTGCTGATCCCTGCTCAGGATACTTTCATTGGGAAAAACAAAAAATCTCTAAAGGATTAGCTGAAGGTCTACTCGTACTCCACAAGAAGCCACTCCCAAGAAGTTTGCTGCCATATTAGCAGCTCTGACTAGGGTTTAGAGGACATTTCTTAAAAAGTCCAACAACAATAATACATTTGCATAAAGAGAAAGAGAAAGCTCCTACTTGACTACCTTGCCATTTATGATTTTGGAAGCAAAGTATTATTTTTCCCTTAGGCTCAGATGTATGTGGCACATATGCTTAGTAAGTTAGCCCTTAAAGCTCTTAAAGCATTTCTCCCAAACATGGCCCAAAGTCCATGTTCATCCTAGTAGTTCTGAGAAGCAAAATTTAAAAGGAAATACAGTTTCTGCAATTTTCTGAGGGCAAAGCCAGTGTATTTTACTCCCAACATCGGGAACCTCAATTCTGTACAAACAATAAAAAGGAGACTGGATGTGGCACTTAGTGCCATGGTCTAGTAACCATGGTGGTAGTGGATCAAGGGTTGGACTTGATGATCTCAGAGGTCCCCTCCAACCCAGCTGATTCTATGAAAGGAAGCGTTTAGTCAGTAGTGGTTCAAAAGGCAGAACACTCGTGATTAAGTCCCAAAGGGGAGTATTGCCTATTCATAAGTTAAATTTTGCAAGTAAAAGGGGAAGGGCTTTTACTTGGCATGTTCACCATGATGAAAAACATAAATGTAAACCAGTTTAAATGGGAAACAATTCTTTAAGGTCTCAGCAGGGCTTACAAATTACTTTTCAGAATCACCACTCACCCCAACAACGTTAAGTTTCACAGAGGGGAGGGAAAAATTGCCAATGGAAGAGCAAAAGTAGTTCTCCAGTCATAATAATTCACAACCAAAGGGAAAAATAATGATTGCAAGCTGCTGAAGATTTAAGACAAAAAGACCTCATTTTAATACCCCCATCTGACAATTCTTTCCAGGAACCAGAATCAGAGTCAACAGAGCAGCTCCAACACCTACCCGCACACAGTGTAGAGTATTGACAAGACCCAAGCAAAACTTACATGGTAACTTACATGGTGGTGGGGACAAGCCATTTCGATTTAAAGTGCCCCCCATTAATACAAAGTTCATCTCCTCAGCAGAACATTGAAAGACTTCAACATATCTGTCCTTCATAGTCTTCTTATGACACTTCTGTGCAGCCAGGAAAGCTCGATCTGCAGATTTCATCTGAATAAAAGCATCTCCTGACGGACGCCCCTATAAACAAGGCAGACAAAAAAATGTTTCTAGAGCTCCCATGAAGGAGCAGCACAGCAATAATTTGTGCTGTTAAAAGCCATCTCTTCAGTCATTAATATATTTATTTCTGAAGTTAAGTACAGTCAGTCAACCTGAGACCCATCAGCATGTTTAAGTTCTCTCCAAGGTTTTTCCCACTTGTGGTAACTTGATTGTATTTATTCACCTGTTTTGATTAAGCTACACTGTAACTTGAGCCATGTTGCTTCTATGTTTAAAAAAAAAAAAAATGATTCCTATGGTACTTTGGCGCTTTGAAACCTGCCCTTAACAATTCAGTAAGAATGCAGAATTGGAAGATCTAATCCCCGCTTATTACCTATGACTTTGAAAATCCAAAGATAAATACAGTCAAATGCCAAATGTTAAATGATTTTTTTTAAAAAATTTAATCTTGTGAAGACCAGTATGGGTTGGGATGTTTTATAAGGGTACTAACTAGCCTAAGGCTTGGTATGAGCTTTTTGCAGAGGAAAACAAAACAGTACTTTACATATGTAGCTGTAAATGAGTGGGATACACCACTGGGAAGAGTCATTTTAGCCACATGCAGTTGCTGACTTGAAGTAGCCAAAAGCAGAGGTAGAAATCTGAAGCCAGCTGTAACTTAAGTTCTGGGCCAGTTCTTCTTGTTTTGGAGGGAAGAACAACTTTATCACCATCTTTTGTACAGTCATTCGTGATTAGAGGGTTAAACCAGAAATAGCAGGTGCATGGAGAAGGATACAAATCTAATCAGGTAAAAGCAGTATGGGGGGAAAAAAATTGCTGACAGCTTTGGGAAGGGCAAGGGTTGCAAACAGCCCTTGAGACTATAGGCACACACCAATTTCTTCATCCAGGTTCTTTCGTTACCGCTGGCAAGGACTGATACTTCTGTAAATCATTATTTGTTCTTTAACATCTGCATCATTTCTTAGCCTATCCCAGCAGTGCACATTCGTTATTGTTTTTCAGCCTTGACTAGGTCAAGTCCTCACAGACACAAGAATCTCCTTAGATAAAGAGGTACTGAAATAACTATAGTCCCTTCTCCTCCCCCATATTCCCAAAATACATAAGCTCTACTCTGGGACAAGGAAGTATTTTGTAGTTTTGGATGACACTAAGACTAAGCTGCAAGAACTTTAGAACCACCATTTTTATAACACAATAATCAGTTTAATCAGTTATCAGTTGAACCACTCAGAGCATCTCCACAGAGCGAAAGGAGCTGCCAACTCCTCCTCCTAGTCACAAGAGTACAAAGATAAAGATCATGAGAATGCACAATCCTTTGTCTAAAAAGTTCTGGTAGAAACTTCTTCCAGAAAACAGTGGCGTTTCACACTTCAATGAGCTGTTAAATCTTGGTTCTTAGCTGTGACTGTTTAAAGAGAGAAACACAGCGCAGGAAACCCAAAGCTTCAGCTTCTGGCTTATGTCATAGGAAACACTGTCCCTAGAAGGCTGCAGTCCTATTTGTCCTCAAACGTACCTGATGCACATTGTTCAGCAAGGCAGGGGCAAACCACTCCTTTGAGAACTAACATTGCCCACACTTCTGTTTGGAAGGCACTCTTTGGCTGGTACAAGAGGAATCATGCATGCTGTTGAGCAAGACTTCAGTTCAAGCCTCCTACAGTGCAGGATCACAGCTGCTGCTCAGAGAGCACCAACCCCTCCAAGACTGTGGCTTAGCTTTCAGCACATGGGTCTACAGCAAATGCAGCAGCTTACACAGCAGAGTTCAAATCATTTATTGCCAGTACACCTTTAGAGGAGAGCTGGAGGCCCACTAATACCATTAGTGCCAATCCCAAAGGTGCTTCCCTACTGATATCCTCAGAAGGACTGTTTTCACATATACAAGCATTTGGCAGATGTCTAGAAATACGTTGCCTACCAACCTGGTGGTTCAGTACCATGTGAACTCCATGGGTCCGAATATCTGTAGAAAACTCTCCCAAGAACTCCAGGATGTCCTCTATGGTAGCAGCATAGGGAAGACCACGCAAACGTATGCAGTCTCTGATGTTTGTGGGAGGCACAAATTGTTGAGGTAATACTGGAAGAATAGGAGGTGTTGGAAGAGGAATGAGAGGTGTGGAAGAGTACCTGTTCAGCACCTGCGCAAACAAAAACAGAGAGGTTACAGGAAGCCTCCTTACTCATTCTTCAGAGGGACAGAACATAAGCCTAGTGCCATTTGTTTTCACTCACTGTTTTCATTGCAGAATTTTAAGAAACAAGTGAGCTAGATTCTGAACTTAAACCACAACAGCAGCGCTTAGAATTCAAATGTTTTAAAATCAATGTTTTTTCCTGAAAAACAATTTTGGTTTTGAGAATTTACTTGAACTGTGAATGTAACTCTCAGAAGAGATCTTAGAACATGAAACCTGCATTTCTGCAGTATTTCTACAGTATTTTTATTGTGAAAGTATCCTAAGACATTCTACCATCTACAGAGTCATGGTGACATTTTTATCCAAAAACATCTCCTCTGCAAAACTTCAGGAGAATCTGGGAACTAGAAGCCTATTTCACTACCAAACACCCGATTTGGGATGCAATAGTCCATTGAAGTAACAGGTGGCATTGCTGAATCACAGTATCTGTGACAGTCATTCTTTGAGATTTCTTATTAATAATTTTAACAGTAAAAACCCTGTCTGGTGAAGAGTTCTCTGAATATTCAATCATTACTCTTGAACTCTAAGCAAGATAAAGATTTATTTGCATTTATACAGCTACCAGAAGGTTTTACTAAAAGAAATATATGAGAGCACTTGAGAAAAATACAATGACAAGAGTGAGTGTTGCAGCTCTGCCTTATCATTAGTGGCACCTTTTAAACATGACACTGAAATCTCTACATATTTGGGAGGACAGAGCTCCATCATTTCTTGGTTACAATGACATGGCTATAATTTTCACCAGAGATGACACGTTTTAGAATCACATTTAGAAGTTAATGGCCTCAACTGAAGCTCTACAAGTCTTTGGAGACTTAAACAATCCTCTCAGCCCTACTTCCTTTCCCTAACAGCATAACTGCAATTAATAGTGCAGCAAACTCTGCTAACACCAGACTCTTCAGGTCCAGTTTCACAAAGTCATGCCACCCTCTGCTAGGTAGCCTATGCTGGCAGAAGATGGCAGAGATCTGCCCTCAGAGGCAATTTGTAAGACTCTTCAGACACATTGCTCTGAAGAGGACAACTACATCAAAAAACTCTGCTTTTCTATGTCAGTGATTAAAGAGAAGTCTTTTAGATCAAGATTTGTTGCTAACACTCCTTCTGAATAGACTATCATTGGACTTTGTAAAATTCAGTACCTGTAGTGTAAAGCACTAGACTCACATCAACTTTCTGCAAGGCTACTGGAAGCCAAAACCCCAAGGGTTTGTATATATGATTGAGAACATCCATATACCATAGTCTTACATTTTGAGGAAGCAGAGTCTCATAGAAATTCAGACAGTACTCATTCCAGCAAGGGTGAAGAGTGAGAGAAGATAAAAGGAGCTGTCAAGTCATGGCCAACTAGTATTTGCTTTCACTGCTGCCAGTGTGGAAGTTTGGATAACAAGAAGCCAATGTTTGCAAAGTTTGCACCCACCTGCTGAACTTCTGCTGCAGTGCTCCTGAAGAGTTCAATGTACCTTTTCCCCAGCAAGTCCTTATGCTTTTTCAGTGCATTTTGTGCGTATTCCTCACAAGCAAACAAGACAAAGGCATCCCCTGTCGGCCTACTGTCAGGGTATGTGACAAACAGGACTCCCTCCTTCCCTCCTGTTACAGGGCAGTGCTGGCCAAAGAAAGTCAGCACTTCTTCCGTTGTTACATTGAAAGGAAGACCTCGCATCCTGACAATCACTTGATTTTCTTTTGACAAGAACTGTGCAACCTCGTTGGAAGTGCCTTTAACAAGAAAAAGTACAGAAGCACTTAAGTCCAGGCAACCACATAAAATCATGAGCAAGTCTGGCATAGCTGAGTCCTGCCCACAGACAGTTTTTGAGCAGGTAGAACAGTATTTGCCTCAAAAGCCAGGAAAGATGTCCCTCTGATAAAGTAGATATATTGTAGAAGACACCTCCCATTAAAGTATAATAATGTTACTCCATCACTTAGAGGATATTTCTCCTTATTCAAAAGGAAAATAAGTACTTGCAGTGTTCAAAGTCCAAGGAAAGAATATCTAGTGTAACCAGTACCTGTGCTACTGTGCACTTCACCTTTCTAAATTTGGAATACCTTCAGCATGCACTAAAGCCAAAATATATAGCAATTAAGTATCTAGATAATCGTGCTGGGAAGGAAAGTTGGAAGGGCATGTTGAAAACAGCTCAGGAATTTCATCCTATCCTGATAGAACTGTCAAAGTCTGCCAATTCTACTTTCAGTACTTTTACGAGAAGCCCAGTGATACTCAAAACACTACCCTATCCAAAAGGTAGCTGATAACCAACTTCACATCTTAATTCAGTCCTTTCACTTACAGCTCCTGTGCTGTGAGGTTCGGTTGCACCAGACGTGCACTGTTGTTCACCAACATCAGTGTGCAATGCCTTTACTTTGGCTAGTATAACTGTTACCAAGCCTATCGGGGAGCTATTTAGTTGACAGCTTAACAGCCTTTCCAACACTAACACCTCAAACTCAGATATCCAGTTAGTCACTTACAATCCCCAGAACAAATCTCTGTAAGGGACCAACAAGGACCTTAAGGTACTATTGTAGATACAACAGCTTATTGGATCTTAATTCAAATTCTATACACTTTCAGACATAAAGGAGATGAAAAGAGACCAAGGGGTAGTTTGTAGAGCAAATTGTGCTGCCTTTCAATTATCAGCAAATATTTCAATATTCCCCTTCAATAAGCATTTCCCCTAAATCCTCTCCATTATGTTTGAGGCAAAGATTTGATTTGAACAAAGTTGGTCCCACAAATCTCTTGTATTTACAGTGTGATATCTGTTTGGTTTTATGTGCAAATCTCCACAGCAACAGCAGTCATATTGCTTCGAAAAACTACTCTGGTTTCATTTTTTCAGTAGTCAATAACATTTAGATCCCCACAGTTACGATGACCTAAAAAAATTAAGTTTGTATAGAAGATCACTTTGCCCAATCAAATCCTGCTTTGACAGGCTGCTTGAAAATAGCAAGAATGTGGAAGAGAAAGGTGGACAAACTATGGAACATCTTTGACTTCTGCTAGCAGAGTACATAGTAATCAATACACGAGCTGACTTGTTCGAAGACAGAAAATGAAAAGTCACATTCAGTGGGAGCAGTTTAAAGTCAAAAGTTAGTGATCCCTTTTCGTCCTCTAAAAATTACCTCCTGCAATTTTAAGGAAGTCTTCACCTGTTGCCTTGTATACCTAAAGGAAGAAAAGAGAACATGTGATTGGCATGCAATTCGCACTCCTTTTGAGAAGAGGATTTCAAAGCCAGCGTCACACACCTCAATGTATCGATTCCCCATGTGATGTTTGTGCCTTTGTAGTGCTAGATCTCTATGCTCTTCACTTACGAACCTCACAAGAGCCTCCCCATTTCTTCTACCTTGGGCATTGAGACAGAGTGCAGCACCTCCCCTGCAAGATTTAAATCAAAAGAGATGAAACTCTGACTTCCACAGCTGAAGCACTACAAATGTACAGGTAAAGTCTTAGCTACTAACTTGGCAATATTTAGACCTTTGAAGAATCTCGCTATGTCCTGGTCAGACGACTGCCATGGCAATCCTCTTGCTCGGATAACAGCATTGTCATCCACAAGTTCCATCTTGCTGCTGCAGGCACAGAAACAGGGAGAGACATTTGCCTGTAGTATCTGCCACACACCACCCTCTCTTCTTGCCATTTGTGTTCCAGGGACAGGCTTCTGTCCCTGCTCCATGTCTACTGGATAGCAGAGGCTCAAGTGCCACCACCTTCCAAAGCCACACCACAACTGAAAGCCACTCCTAGGTAAAGTCTATCCTAGGGAAAGTTTGTTTTGTTAAGCTGCTCCTTTCCCAGTTCCCTTTTTCTGCTTCATCACATTTTCTCTTTGACCTGTCATCTCTTTGATCATGTTCCCAGTTTATTTCCCTCTCCTGACATCATTTGTGCTTCTCCATTATCTGAACAAGGTTGCTGGTATAAAAATCAAGCACTTGTTATTCTAATCTAGATAGGTGGAAATTGAAGCAGAGCAATTAGATGTAACTGAGATTAGTGCTTATTAGTTGTACTGTGACAGTGTGTTAAGAGCCAGGCACCAGCCAAGACCAAATCTGTTCTTGGCTGTACTCAGCACACACAGGACTCCTGCCCCAAGAGTTGAGCTGTAACATTGCTTGTTCAGGCCACCACCATACTACTAGGGACTAATATAGCTAAAGGCTACATTGGCTGCTTAGTATGGGAATAGCTCAGCCACAGAAAGCCAGGCTTAATTGGTCATTACCGCAGTCTCTTTTGTTCTCTTACTCGTTAAAAGTGTGGATTACAACAAAACCCTCACAGCTCCCAAGGCTGCCTTTCTGGCTACTGCAAGAACAGGTTTTTGCACAGAAGAGACTATGCGATTGATTAAGCAGATGAAGTGCTGTTCAGTAGCAGAGGACTCCCTCATAAAAACGGGCTGTGGTATGCCTTTCTATAGAAGGGCCATGTTTCTCACTCATATTTTAATTTCTTGGGTGGCCTTTCTGTCTGTCCCAAACTGTTTCCCCTTGCCTCTTAATTCTGTACTCCTCACTATCTCAAATAAGATGAGAATCTTCCACCTCATCCCAGAATTTTGTTAGTGAAAAGGAAAAAGCTTAGAACAATGTTGAACATAATCCCTGAGCTAATCTCTCTGGATACTTTCTGCCAATCTTTTTGCATTTTTTTCTTGCTTCTTTTGACTCAGAAGTGTCAGTATCATCTACCATTATGACAGATCCTTAATCTGGAAGGGGGAAGTAAGTATTTGTGGAAGATGAGAATATAAATAAAGTCAGTTTAACATCAGTCTCTTATGATATTGCAGAGGGAGTATCCAGCAAACCACTGAGAAAAATCTGTATTTATACATCGAAGGAGCACAGTTACATTTAAAAAACCCGAACCAAACAACAAAGCAGTCAAAAGCAGATAAAGTTTTATTTTTAAAACATATTTGGGAATAAGATAATCATTGCAGCTTAAGCAATTGACTGGTAGCACAGTACCTCTCGCCCAGTATCTTTACAAAAGTGTTTCTTCCCCATAAAAAAAATCATGATGTGTATGCAGTAACTATGGAGCAAATTGCAGGAAGAGTGCAAGATTTAGTAACCAATAGGGTTACTTCTGCAACACTGCTTACATCTTTGTTAATAGCACAGTACACTTAACACCCACTATAAGCACTTATTAGCAGAACCCAGAACTATAAGCAGTTAACATTGGCAACATTGAAGCCTAACAAGAAAACTGGCTTGCATCCGATCATAGAATATGTGTTCCCTTTGCTACTTAAAGGATCTAATCGATTCCCACAGCAGTGGCAAGACAAATAGAAATAAAGGTAACAGCTATTTGAAAATTAGAAATACAGACAAGCACAGCTTACCTAAACAGTAACTTTAAACAGGAAGTGGTGGGGGTTGAAATATGTGCAGCAACAAGAGGGAGAAAGTACTTACCAAGGCCCACTTTCAAATTTGTAGTTCACTCTTTCTGGATCTGAAAATTGGTGATCTGTGAAATACAGCACAAGTTATTTCCTATTTCATCAGCACACAGGACAGGTAGAAAAACCAAAGAAGGAACAGAGAAAACTTGTTCATCACAATCACTTACTGTATGGTTCAGATATTAGTCTTAAAATAATATTCCCCATGTCTTCAACTTGAGAGGCTCCATACGGAAATGCTGGACTGTTCTTATCAAGATTTAAATCTTTGTGCTAGAGTTAAGTCAATCATCACCAAACAGATTTCTAATTGGCTTCCTGACAGATAAACACACTTCCATGCTATCCCTGATGGAAAGTCACTTCTCAGGGGAAAATTTAATCCATTTCCCTGCCGAGACATGTTAGCTGCTCTGCCTTGTCCTCTAACTACTGCCACCTGCGGGAATGTGAGATCATTTCAGGAAGTGTCTGCAGACATAAGACTCCATAATAAGGACATATATTTAATAAATCCATGAATTATGTATGTTTGACAGATACACTTCTGCATGTGGAAGAGACTGGAGTCCTGTCCTCTTTAATTAACATCATCTTTGATCTCCAGGGAAAGATTTGGAGAAGAAGAAGCAAATAATAAACTAAAAGCTCCAGAAATAGGAGGATATACTACACACTTTCTGAATAAGTAAATCCTAAAGCAGAATAAGCATCTTACCACTTGAACAAAACCCACAAATGGCACTTTGTCTAAACCTTGCCTATTAGAATTTACAACGCTCTCATACAGAAGCATTTTGATAATCTGGTAAGAATCCACCACTTTTGTGTTCTCTCAAGATGTAAACCAGTTCCACAACCCATATCTTCTTCAATTTGAAGGATTTTGGAAATGACTGCAATAGAGAGCAGGAAGTGCCCTGTCCTGGAAAGACAGGCCATAGAAAGACCAAATAAAAACCACACGTTCACAAATGGAGTCTGATTTAAGTTGCATATACCACCCTTTTTCACACAACTTCAAACAGTTTACTACAGTACGTCTCCCTCTTCCATCATATTTGCCCCTCTCCAACACCAGGTTACAGTACTAAGATTACTTGCAACTCTACTTCATGAAGCAAATTTTTAAAAAGGTCTTTTTCACTCACATCCCCTTCTTTGAAGGGTGTAGGGTAAAAAAGTAATCAAGAACAGAATAAGAAACAAAGAAATCTGGGAATAGGACTTGCAATTTTTTACTTGCCTTATCACTTTGCATCCAGACTTCAGAGCAAAAGTGAAAGTTTCTCAAACCAGACTCACGCTGGCACGGCAGTACAGTAATGCAAGACACTGAAAACTTGCCCACATCCCCCCTAAACTACATTAGGCACATTTCAAATGCTCACGAGCCTGCACTTTGGTGCTCAAAAGTTGCTTCATAGTCCAAGACAGCATGTTTTGTCTTAAAAAAAAAGCTTTCTCCACCTAGAGCTGAGCAAAGTTTGAGTTGGCAGATGCCCACATGAAGTGCAGGGAACAGAACAGTTCCTGTTAGAAACAAACACCTCACAGAAGCTTTGCCGTATCATCTAATCAACTGGTGAGGTAGTGCAAATTTCTTTGTGAAAGAGTCTTACCTATTATTCACAGGATGACTGCAAGTTGGTTCTACAAAACAGATTTTTTTTTAAATTGTCTTGTTGTGAGATGAAAAATAATTTCAACTGAATTAATGCATTCCTCTTCCACAGCAACAAAAGGAAAGCTGCTGTGCCAACACAATACACTTGAGGCTAACTTGATTTTGAGGTTTTGTTGGTTTTAAGTGTGCACTAGAGTATGGAAGGTTAGAGGATGATGTTTAGTCTTAGAACATTTGAAGTGAATTATCATAGTTTAAAAAAAAACAAACTTAAATCAGTGATTCCTCCCCTCCAACTGCTTGACTATAAATAGTTCGCTAGTCATTGCCTTTATCCTCCCTCCTGGTACCTTCTTTGGGGTAAAGTACTGAGAAAATTAAATAGTTGTCTTAAAAACCAAGCTAAAAAACCTGAATAATCTCAAAAACACAGTTTAAGAGATTACACTATTTATGACAATAAACAAATTTCTTCATTGTAGTATCTCTTCCTAAGCTTTAAACTTGACATTGCCTCCTCCCCCTGTCCCTGGGAAAGAGGGGGTTGAAAAGAAAAGTAACCCACAAACAGACTCCCTTGCAGAGAGGGTACCTAAGCAGTACCACACAGATGTTTCTGGGCACCTTGTGTATTAGAGCAGAGGAGTGCCTCTCTTCCTTTTCCCAACATCCTTCCCCCTGCAGCAAACAGCTCCACACTGGGCTTGTACAGAGTCTCTACTGTCTGTTCAGGGAAACACAAGCTGCTGAACATGCAGGTATTCGAACACTGGTCTTGCCTGACACATTTCTATGAAGATTTCAGAAATGTCTTTCCTCTGTCAAAAATCAAGAGAAATTGGGCAGCAGTTTCAATAGCTATTCCAGCAGGGGACATGCATACACATGTGCACACACATACACTTGGCTGTTAGACTGTGCTGTCAGAACTGAAAAGACATTTCAATATTTCCTTTGTGCAGAGCCAAAGATCCCTACAAGCGATCAGCTGCCAGAGAGGGAATGCAGAAGTGAGAAGGGGCTGGGAATTTGAAGAGAGGCTATCACACAAGGAAAACAAACAACTCCACCACCCCATGTTCATTTCCTTCAATGAAAACGTTTTCTGAAGACACTGATCCACAGGAGCTGTAGTCCCTAAAAACACCCTAGTGCCAATGCAAGCTGGTACCAGATGTCAGATAGTCAGTTGTGCCAAACTCTAGATTAATATAAACACAGTGGGAGGGGAGGAAGAAAGTCATAAACATTAGCAGGAGTAAGAAATTGCTCACACCTTCACCTCCGATTAGTTAAAAGCAAAGCTTTCAGCTAAGATTGGAGAAGAGAACTGATAGTTTTCTGCACATAAGTCACTATTATTAACATGCTTTTAAGTGAAAACCCATATTCTAATGAACAAGACCGATTCCATAGAGGTGGACTCCTGTGGACAGAAACACTAGAAGTTCTCAACACTTCTATTAACTGAACAGTCTCTATAAAACCCACCCCTGGTTCTGTGAAGAGATAGGAGATCATACACGTTTGTGTACATTTTGATTTAGAGGATGCCTCTCTTGGGCAATTGAAGAGAGGCAATTGCTGTGGATAGTCTAAGTTCACATTTAAAGAAGTGCTACAAACCAGACCTGGCTGTCTAAAGCCACTATATGCAGTAGCATACAAATGTATATTCCTAACAAAGCAACAAGCAAATGATACTCCCAAATAAGGCAGGATGGGAAACAAGGAACTACTTAATCTTGCTGTCCAGCTATGGCACCACCTCCTGCAACACTCAGGAAGTTAAAGGGACCAGGAGGAAAGGTATATTCTACATCATGGTGGCCTCTATAACATGGAAGAAGTTTCTAGATAGCTTCCTCAGATTCATCACCACAGCTTCACTTACTGTCAGTGCCCTCCAAGACTTCTTCCTTCCCACTGTCTCTTCCATTTCTCAGTCTCTTAACTCCTTTCTTACTGAACAACTAACTTAACCTGAGATGACATGAAACAGCATTGCAATTGTACTCTGCATTAATCCTTTCCCCTTTGTTCTGTTTCTTATTTAAGTCTCTTTAGGTAGAAGATTATATCTTTTCAAATAATACTTTGCATAAAGGTAATCTGATATTACCCAGTTCCTGAGTACTATCACAGGAAATACAAATAGCAATATCCAAGATTCTCAGGCAATGCCCAGTTCAGGGCTTTTCATTGCCAGAGTTAGGCACTATCGGTTTTAACTGTGCTCCACATCATTGTTTGCAAGCCATCCAGGTCAAAAAAACAAAACAATAAACCCTCAACAAACCAAGCTTCAGGACTACAGTATCCAGCACATTAAGCAGGCTGTTCTGAAGTGCACCTGTGTTCCTACTCAGAACATGGTCAGATACTCGTAGTAAGGAGTTATTCTCATAAATCCAGTTCACAAGTGGAGCAAACCAAGCACTGGAGGAAGCAAGAGCTATTTGCCATTTAATGGCTCCTGCACACCCAATCTCGAGGCAAAGGATGAGTCTTCTGCAGACCTAATATGAATAGTCATGCGAGCTTTGTTCACTCCACCCTAAAGGCACTCACAGGGTGAAAACTGGCTCAGCAAGCTTTGCAAATCAAGAAGTGCAGCAAGTATGGGAGGTACAGAGGGTGCAAGAACTACCCTGCTCCTTTTGTATGCTTACACATTAAAAAAAAGATTTCAACAGATCCAAGTTCCTTTCTCTGCTGGGACATGATCACTTCTCTCAAGTTTTGTTACTTGAAAATTCTCATAATTGTCCTGCTGTCATTACACCTACACAATTCCAAATAAATTCTGCCAGAAGACTGTCTCCTACATTAAGAACTGTTATGAGACAATGAGTTAAGCAGCAGTAGCACTCAGAGATTGAGCAGTTACAACTAGTTTCAGTTCTTCCTCGGTCCCTCAAATTTCATGGCATTCTAAAACTTGCTTTACCTTGAATTAAAAGAAATCAGTGGCTATTTGTACATGAAATGTATAATTTCTTGGAGGAAGGAAGAGGGAAGATATGTAAAGCTTTCCCCTGAGCTTTTGGAATGGTGTCATTGCTGTACACAAATGTCAAGTAGTCTGCTGAAAGAATAGGTCCCCAAAGGATTTTCTAAAGGAAGAATAACCCAGTCAATTATTCAGTTTATTATCTCTATGTTCTTTTTCAAGATTATGTTTGCCTTGTCTGCAAGAAATACACAGCTAATTCCCTACTATCCAGTGTGTTATATACTGAAATATATATCTAGAATGACTGTGCAGTAGGAAGTTATCTCCCCTGATTATTGGGAGCAATAGAGTACATCCTCCATTTGCCTGTTTAATCAAATGTTACACACAAAAATAAAAGCTTTTGAAGACTTCTAATAATTTAAGTAACTGCAGATTAACACCCAGCTTTCCCTTAACTATTTTATATCATACAAGTTTCCTCTTACTGACCACAACCATTTTACACACAGATAAATGGAGATGTAAGTACATGAAGGGATGTGCCCAAAAATTATTCTATTCCTGTTCTTACCAGTTTGCAAATCCGCATTTCTTGAATCCCTAGTCAGTACCCCATCCCTGTACTAAAACCTTCTATCCTCAACAAATGCTAAGAAAAGAAGCACAGTATAGTTTATGTGGCAGAAATCATGGAAGATTCTCTTCATGCAGCCTCTTTAGCAATGGGGCTGAATTTCTGCACTTTCTACAAGAATAACAAGAGCTTGGTCAGATTCTGTGCACTAATCTTCAGTTTCATTTCAACCTAATGCATTTGTTTCCGTGTCCCCCACAGCATATCCACACATCAAGGAAAAGAAACCCAAACAACTCTGCATACAACTGTTTGAACTAGTCTTTAGACTTAGCACCTGCTTCAACAACCTTTTTATCTCAAACATTACATACATGTCCAGACTCTCCAAGTGCAATTAATTTATACAGCTTCATTTGGCACATTTCAGCAACGTGAGGAGAAAAAAAAAAATCATTATATTTGTCAATAAAAGGAAAACAAAAATTGTTTCACCCTTTTTAGTATCTTCATCCTCTGCCCCCAACACTCTTAAACAACACAGGGCAGAGACAGTCTATTTTAGCCATGTTGCATAACCGTAGCAACTTTACAAATAAGAACATTAGCAGTTACAAAACAAGACAAACCACAAAGATTAATATAAGACCAGAATGAAGTTAGGTTTATACACCTTAAGAAGCATATCATATCCAGAATTCAGACTCATGCTGAGTGCCTTTGGATAGACTGACCAAGCCCCTAGGAACTTGGAGAAAATACTGTTGGCACCTGACAAAATCACTCTCAGATGGTATTGACTCTTTAGGGGCTTCCTGACAATCAGGTAACACAGGGTGGTCTACTTTCCTCTCCCAGCAGCCAGGGAATACACAGTCCTTCACCACGCTTTAGCTGACCAGTGACACTCCAGACAGCTACACTCATAAAACTCCTTCCACAGTGGCAAAACACACCACAGACATTCACATGAAAAGAAAGCAAAGGCAACTCTCCAAAACAGTTGAAATAGCTCATTGTCTTTAACTTCTCTAGCTCATGTCAAAGTATTCCCTAAACAGTGTATTACATTTGACCATAAGTTCAAGAAGCCTCCAACATCCAGTTTCTATGCAACACAGCCTTTATTTCACTTTTCTACATAGTCAGTCAGACTCCTACTTTAAGTGTACTGCTTTGGTTCAGAGTAGGGGGAGAAGTAGTTTCTGGCTCTTCCCTAGCAGAGATTAATCTTAATTTGCAGATGACAAAGCAGAGCAGGCAGCCTCCAGTATTCAACCTTATGGTTAAATAAAAAAAAAAAATAAATCCATAAATACGTATGTATTTTATGCCCCCTGACACAGGTACAAAGCCCAGGCAATACTAGTCCTGCAGTGAAAGGACAAAATAATTCAGAAGCCACAGACATCAGCTCTTAATGGCAAGCGCTCTACAGACACAGTAAGCTAGTCAAAGTTACTAAAAACAACAGCCACAACAACTACCAATAATAGAGAAGAACTTCAAATTCCTTTACTGGTCCTTCCTAGGTAGCTTTTTGTGATCAATACTTCAGCAGTTCAGTAGGGAAGTCAAGTGTTTCTGTGTCCAAGAGCATGTTCGAGATGAGGACTGAAGCTTGTAGCAAGAGGAGAGACTGCCAGGGAAGCAAGGAAGAAGGCACTGCCAAATCATTCACAGCCTCAGCCCTCCTGACTGTACATGGCATACAAACAAAAGCATGCTGAGACTAGGTAAAGAGCCAGACAGAACTAGGTTACAGACCACTTCAGACTATTCAGAAAGTAATTTTAGACATCCCTGTCACTGAAAATGGAAACATATTACTGACAGCATCTTAGTGCCAGTCGAGCCTTGTGAGGAGCAACATATGCACCTCCCAGGAGACTGAATATCACACATGCCAACAGCATCCCTGCCTTAGGTTCACTCCTGCATTGGAGATTCACTACAAGTTCACATCAAGAATAACCATTCCCTCTCCTGAAAATTAAGAGTCCCCCAACATTCAGTCTTGTCTAAAAAATAGATAAAAATCTAACTGATGCAATGAACCACCTCAAACTTTAATATTATGATTCATAACAGCAATTTGAACAGATGTGCCAGTTACACTAAACTGTGAAGTTTAAAGAGAGAAAACTATAAAGATGATAAACAAAACATAGAAGTCAAGAAGAAATACAGGTTTTTCTCCATGGAAGCACACATCTTCATATGTTTTTATCTTTGTGAGAAAGCTCAGTACAGCTCCGAGTCACTCATTAAAGTTATATCACCCCTGAGCATATGTTGCAAGCATTACTCACACACCTCTGTCCTAGAATTCAGCCAAGACTGTAACAGCAGCAGACACCATCACTGTTAAAAGGATACATTCTGTCATGGCCACAACATCGAGTTTGCTAACTTCAGGTGAGCCAGGGCAACACTTCTTGAACTCTTTCCGCAAGTCAAAAAAGGAGTAGAAGCATTCAGGCAGTAAGATATTCTGTAACAGGAACAAAGTAACTGCTGTCAGGGTGAGTTTAATGTACTTTGTCTTTAGATACCAAACTGCCTAACAATTTCTATATAATAGGTATGAAACACAAGCATCCTTTGCTACAGAGAAACTCACATAACTCTTCTTAGCCAGGTAAGTACATTTTTATAAACTTCTTTGCTTAAGCAACTTTCTCTCTATATAGTTTAAAAAGAGAAATGTGCTTTTGTGCTGCCAGAGAAATTATTGCGATTATTACTAGAGCCTCAATCCAATATATATGTACAAGAGCAAATGCCTGCTATTGTAACTTATCATCAGTTCTTGATTCCAATTTTAACTGTAAAAAGCCAGAGGGCACTCAGTTCAGCTTACAGAACCAAGCACAATTTGCGAGACTAGCAGATGATATTTCAGTTTATAGACAAGGCTGAGTTTTCAGAGCGTAGTCACACTTCAAATATTTATTCCCAGCAAAAAAAATGAGGGTTTGACATGGTGCAGAGCTTGGCAATCTATGCATAGTAACTGCTTTAATTACAGTGTATGAAGCCAGAAGCAAGTTAGGTAGCCCACTAGAAGCCCATAAAGCCCCTTTTGCCTCCCCACTACATTTACCACATACTTTAATTTTTTGGGGGGTGTCAAAGAAAAGACATGGAAAAGTCTTGGGGGAAGCTGTTGAAACCAACACAAAACCTTACTCCTTCAGTTAGCTCTTCACCCCAGAGGTTCCCCACAGACAGAATACTTCATACTCCTTTTGGCTGTTTGTTGCTTGCAAGGCTCTCTAGACTAAAAGTACGGGCTTTCTGGGATATAACTACTAGTTAGCATCTTGACATTATAACAGAATAACAGGCTATGTGAAAGCATACTTAGGAAGCCCAAAGAAAGAAGTTTAGGCTCTAAAAACAAGTTCTGCTTTGAGAATGCTAGAGCTTATCTTAGCATATGGACATTGCATTAGGCAAACAACACTCTTAAGACAAACTTATAAAAATGCAAGTGTGCTTGCCAAGATTTTCTGCTTTAGTTTTAGGATGACTCTTTCTTCCATGATGTAAAATGAAACTTTCACTTGGAATAGTTGATGCCAATTCATTCTCTGAATACCATGAGTTGCTAGCTGGGTTCAGAATGGTCATCTTAATCAAGAGCCTAGTGATTTCTGCCTATCTGGATTTTAGTGATCACACAGTCAAATCTCTGAATTAGGGTATTCACAAAAGAACTATTTAAGAGTTTCATATGCATCTGGTTTACTTTATCTGCAGGCAGCACAGAACAAATTTTAGATGAATAATTCTTAACAAAACAGCAAGACAATATTTTGATGAAGATTTGATTCCTGTCTGTGACCCTGTGATGATATAGAAAAAGGCTGCCTATCCCCAACATCAATCCACTTAAATAATTGTAGGAGTTGTCCTTTCTTTTAAATGGATGAAGAGACTTATTAACCAAGAAGAAAGTCCGCTAAAAACCTGTTTCCACATTTTCTCACATTATACATCATAGAAGACAAGTTACAGGACTGTCCCTTTACCATGAATCATGCTATTTCTCTTCTAAGCATTCAAAGCTATAAACACTTAAAGCCCCAACAAGTATTGCAACCAAACTCATTCAGTATCAGTTTCGTAATACCACAGACTTGCAGCAGTGCCCTTTCAAAGATGAAGCAGCAAACTCAAGGGCACAAAAGTCAGCTGCAAAGAGAGGAGCAGAACAGCTCAGTTACAGAGCAATGCATGTTCATACCACAAAATTAGGTGTTATTAATATTGAAGCAGTTATTTCAGAACTAGAGAGAGACAGCATATTGCTGGAACCCTATCACTAATGAAAAGTAGGTGGGACCTTGTAACACTGTTAGCGATTTGGCAACTCTGAAGTTATAGAAAACTCCAGACTATGAGACTAATCATCACTCATAGCCTGCCTCAAACTACTGTTCAGCTCCTTACAAATATGAACACTGCCCTCAGAGTGTCAGCTGAATACACAAAGATTGAAAGCTGCCGAAGCTAAATGTGAATGTAAAATTTCAAAAGACAGTTTATGATTAAGGTGGTTAACTATTTAGCAACATTTCCAAATCCCATCTCTTAATCCATTGTAGCTCCTACAGCTGTAGAAGCTATGAGTACTGTCAGTGCTCCTCTCTCAAACAGTGAAGAGTATCTTCCTTTTGATTTAACTTTAAAAGGCATCTCAAGGCTACATAGGCACAGGGCACTGTCTATGTCTTCCACATGGACAGGCTCTTTAGCCTGGTAAGCACATTAACATACGAGCGATGTTTGTGCTATGGTTGTGTGGAGGTACCCTCATACTAAAGAGAAGTTATCAGTTTTGCAAGAAATCATAGAAAGCACATTAGGATTCAAATTTAAGCTACAACTACATACCTTTTTGGAAGCTTCAGGGTGCAGAACCTGCCTAATGTGCAACTGTCCATCAGTACAGAAACAGAAGGAAGTACCTACACCAATATTCAGCTCATTGCTCACAGACTGATTAAACTGTAGGCAGGAACAAGAAAAAACATACATGTTACAGAGATCAGAATAGCTGCACTGTGCAGTGTCATCAGTTGGTAACATGTTATTCCTGGTCAGCAGGAACATGGAGCTAAAATTCCTTTTTGCATAAGCCCACTACTTCACTTCTGTAGATTTGTTTCTTACTAGCTTGGCACATACTAACTTTCATAGTTATCATCACTGGAAACCACCACTTTTCCCCTTTTTAAGGAAATATGGCTACACAGACAGTCCACAACCCAGAAAAAACCCAATCTTTTTGAGAAACATTTGCAAAAGCACTGCAATGAGACATAAAGCTGGTCGCAGAGAGCTGAGGCAGTCCTGGGGCAGAAGAGCTTTTCAAACACGGTAGTCAAACACGTTGGAAAGGAGACAGGTTTTCAGCCCTACCCTCAATGGAAATCACACACACCTCCTTATTAATCTAGGGGCTTTAGTACTGTCACCTTCTCAGGACTGATGAACACAAACTCTGACAGGGCCTGCCACCACCCAGCCTTTTCAGGGGACACCTAAACTTGGCTTCTTCCAACACTGATTGGGGCTCACCCTCAGGTGAGACTCATTCAGGGTCCAGCATGGCAGGAGAGCAGGGTAGGGGAATATCTGACTGACCTTCCTCACTTGGGGGTCAGGTCCTCACAAGATGAATGAGCAAAAAGCAAGGAAGAAATGCCCACAAAGCCCTCCACATATAGGCTGCCTGGCCCACACAGATCAGTGGTATCCCTGTGCCAGGTTCCACTGTCCTGACAGTGGGGTGGAAAGCATAAGTAGATTATAACACTGCCTCTACCCCACGGGGGAGCTCCCAAGGGAGACCAGCACCCAGCAGCCAGTTATGGGGTGTCACCTGTCTCAGTGCCTGCTCCAGCGGCGGAGCCAGTGCCAGGCTCTCCACATCCACCTGGGTGATCTCCTGGCACTCAGCCGTCAGCTCGGGGTGGTCAGGCCGGACCAGCACGTCATGCAGGTGCCCCAGCTCCAGAGAAAGCAGAGGAGGGGTGAGTCAGCTCCCCGGGCCGGGGGTCCTCACCTGCAGCACCAGCCCCTGCCCTCCACCAGAGCCTGCTCCAGCCTGGAGCACCCATTGCCAGCCCAGCGCTGAGACCACCCTACCCGCACCCAGCATGGCAAGGGCCAAGGGGAGCAGCAGGTCGGGGTGCTCCCCCCTCGGGTGAAAATACCTCCTTACTCCTGAGGTCGACCACTTTCCACAGGAGCTGGAGCAGCTCTCGCTCGTCTGAGCCCAGCCTTGCCCCGTTGGTGCCCGCCGTAGTCACAAAGAGGATCACCAGGTAGTCGGGAGACGCCGTCATGGTGCCACAGGGTCAGCAGAAAGGATAAAAAGGAGAGAAAGAAAAAGGAGGAAAGGAAGGAGGAGAAGGGGACGAGAAGAGAGCGGAAACTTTCCCTGCCCGAGGCGCTTCCAGGCGAGACCCAAGCGGCAGAGCCCCCACCTGCAGCCTCACTCCCCAAGGACCTGGCGCGGGGGAGGCGCACGGCTTCCCCCCGCTCTTCCACCCCCTTTTTCCCGAGGCGGGCGGCGGCCGCTCCCACTCCGGCTGCACCCTTAGGAAGCGCGCAATGGCTGCGGGCTTTTCAGCGCGGGGCCGCGGCACCACCTGCCCACCCCCGGCCCACGTGGTGCAGGTAACACACACCTGGCGCCGCCGCCCATTGGCCCCGCCGGGCGGGGACGTGGCAGCGCGGCGGGGGCGGCAGCGGGAACGGGGGGCCGGGATTGCGGGCGGGACGCCAAGCGCGGTGCCGGGATTGCGGGCGGGTTGCGGGAGCGCGGCGGCGGACGAGCCGCCCCCGGCCTCCGAGGAGCCCCATCGGGCACCGACGGCGGCCCGGACCTGCCGGGCTCCGCCTCCCGCCGTCGGGGCGCGCTGCCCGGGGAGGTCCTGCTCCTCACCGGCGGGGCGGGGCCCCGCTCCTGCCGGGACGTGTCGCGGAGGGCAGGTCGGTCCTGCGTCCGCGAGCAGCCCCGTCCCCCGGACGCAAGAGGAGGGGAGATGGCCACGCCGCCCGCGGCCCCTCGGCAGGTCTCCTCCCTCGGTCGGGGGCCGCAGAGGCCGGGTGCGGTGCCAGGGAGCACGGTCGTGGCGTGCGGGCCGGCTGTCCCCGGGAGCAGCTCCGAGGGAGCCGAGGGGATCAGGGCGGTGGAGTCTCTTCCTCTGTCGTCCTCAAGGCAGCGGCATCGCAACTTCTGTGCGGCTCGGGCACGGCGGATTGAGTGATGTGTTAAGAGCTGGCCAGTGAGGCTGTTGCAGCCTTCCCTCCGTGAACTTGTGATTTTGGCCCTTGTGACAACCTCACTTCTGCTGATCGCTGTTCCGCGGTGAAATCTCTATTTTAAATACATAATGCTCAAAACTAGATCTTTTCATGACAAATCACTGAAGGCAGGGTAAACAAGTAACTCTAACTTTCCTCAGGGAAATTCTGTTGTACACCTGGTTCTTTAGGATCTCAGTTGTTTATTTCCAATGTCATTGCGATGCTGCTTTTTGAAATTTTTACTGAGATCATAGAATCTTAGAATATACTGAGTTGGAAGGGACCCATTAAGATCATCGAGTCCAACTCCTGGCCCTGCTCAGGAAACCCCAAGAATCACACCATGTGCCTGAGAGCATTGTCCAAATGCTTCTTGAACTCAGGCAGGCTTGGTGCTGGGACCACTTCCCTGGGAAGTCTGTTCCAGTGCTCAGCCATCCTCTGGATGAAAAACCTCTTCCTGATATCCAGCCTAAATCTACTTTGCTTTGAAATAGCAGCTTCATGCTATTTCCTCGAGTCCTCTTACTGGTCATGAGAGTGAAGAGATCAGTACCTACCCCTCCACTTCCCCTTGTGAGGATGTTGAAGACCACAATGAGGTCTCCCCTCAGTCTCTTCTCCAGGCTGAACAAACCAAGTGACCTCAGTCATTCGTCATATGGCTTCCCCTCAAGGCCCTTCACCATTCTCGTGGCCCTGCTTTGGATGTCTTTTTTATATTGTGGTGCCCCAAACCGCACACAATATTCAAGGTGAGGCCACACCAGTGCAAAGCAGAGTGGGACAATCCCCTCCCTTGCCCAGTTGGTGATGCTTTGCCTGATGCCCCCAGGGCTGCCAGAGCCATCATGGCTAGGCTTTGAGAACGAAGATTTGGGGACTGCCAGAGCACTGCTGACTCAACTTGCCATTGACCAGGACCCCCAGGTCCCTTTCTGTGGCACTGCTCTCCAGCCTCCTGTTCCCCAGTCTATACACACAACCAGGGGTGCCCCATCCCACATGCAGAATCCAGCACTTGCCCTTGTTAAATTTCATACGGTTAGTGATTGCCCATCTTTCTAATTTGTTGAGGTTTCTTTGCAGAGCTTCTCTGTCCTTGAGGGAGTTGGCACGTCCTCCCAATTTGGTGTGTCAGCAAATTTACTTAGTGTATTCCTTTGAGTCCTTCATCCAAGTAATTTATGAAAACGTTGAAGGGCTGAGAATGGAGCCCTGTGGAACCCCACTGATGACTGGACACAAGCCCCATTCACTATAACTCTTTGTGCCCAACCTGTGAGCCAGTTGCTCACCCATGGTGCAATATGGTTATCCAGCTGTGTGATGGACATTTTGATGATGGTGTGCATTGTGTGTTTCTTCATCACCATTCCTTGCGTTGGTGCAGGTTCACAGCTTGCGCCACCTTTTATTAATGCATACGCATTTGCTTGGTAGGAAGAGAGCAGATGTTTCACCACTACTGGGGATCTTGTCAGCCACTGACTCCTCCACATAGTGCCCAGAACCCTTGTCCTGCTCTGCTGCAGTTTGGTGCAGCCTGGTTCTCCTTGCGGGGACTGCCACCAAATTCCTGCTTGATAGTTCATGTGCTTCAGTAGACAGCATGACACAATGGGGTAATTTTCACTCTCTCTGGTACAAGATTTCAAAAATGGCATGCACTGTTAGCAGAGACTGCAATTTGAGGGTTAAAATATCAATTTAATCAGTTTTTTAAAGCGTAGCTGAAATTGGCCATGTGAATCTCACATCAGGAAACACCTGAGCTAATTGTGCCCCATTTGTTGGAGGGTTAGAGCACCTGGGTTTCTTGGGGCATTTCACTTCTGATGTTCTGATGCATTGAGTGAAACATATGGGAAGGAGAGGACTGGCATGTGTGTCCTCACCAGTGGCTGCAGCTGATCTGTACTCAGCATCTGAGGAGTTTGCTCTGTGACCTCTGCCTAGCCTGGAGAAGAGGGATTCAATAGGATAGGATTTCTTCGTGCAGTTTCCATTTCAGGTCTTAGTTTAGTGCAACTTCTTAAAAAAATCTTTATAGTTTAGTACAAAAGACCAGAAGTACATTTCTGAAATGATTTCACATTGGAGCACACCAGACAGAGAGCCCTGGCTCCTCCTCTTTCAGTGAAACGTAATCATCCATTCTAGGAAGTTTGATTCCCGATGCCTGCTTGGCTTTTGAGATGCAGCTCTTGTCTTTGTGAGAATGATTTTTGGATGGGCACCTGTTTCTTGACTTGTGATTTGTTGTGTTCTGCTTACATATATCTTTTTTTCTTCCCTTTTATACCTGACTGTCTTAGCCTATCTTGTCTCTTTCCATCTAGGAGTATGAGACTTCCCAGCTTATCACTAGAGCAGGCTGCATTATGTATAGTAACCCCTTTCAAAGGTAAAACTGTACCCTGAAAGTATTTTTAATTCCCACTATGTCCTTTGAGTTCTCGACTAACCCTTGTTTTATTTATTTATTTATTTATTTAGGAAGCTACTCACCACTAATTGTTACTGTAGTGCTTTTATTTTTCTCATGCTTGGATAACACATTTCCTAAAACACCTGTTTTACAGTTACAGTTCCCATTCCACCCTCTTTCTTGCATGCTTGCAGCACCTGGTCTGACAACATGTACCAGTTGGTTAAGTTCCTGTGTTGTGTTGCCCAGGCTCCTGGCATTTGTGTACTCCCATTCCAGTTGCTTCTCCCTGCCTGTTCCTTGTCCCAGGACTGGTTAAACATAGTCTTTGCATGAAGTGTCACCTTCCAGATGACATCAGCGTTGTTACCTACAGGAAGGTACTAAGGTGCTTTGGGGCACGATGACCTCTCAAGGCTCCTCCCAGCACCCTGTTGCTGTATTTCTCTCCTCTGGCATGCCTTCTGGTTCCCGCCTGCTGTCCATCTGACCAGCCCCTTTGCTAATCCCAATGTAACTGTTTCTCTGTCCTTTTTGTATTAGTTCTGGTGGTTTCTCACCACACATTCTTTTGTTTCACTTTCTGTTTCAGGACATTTCTGAAACTACTCACACCTTTCTTCTTGCCGAGGAGCTGGTCCTAACATCCCCTCCTGAGCACTGCAAGAGACTGACAGGCCTGCTTACTTATTTCCCACATTTTCCTGAAGCTTCCCTCTCTCACCCAGTGATCCCCTTCCTCCCAGTTTATTTGAACAAACCTGTGACTTTGCACTATGTTCAGGTTTTTTCTGCTGGTTCTGCATCTCCCACCCTCCTCTACAGGAGGGTCTTCAGCCCAATGCCACCAGCATCTCTGTTATCCTTTCCTGCACAGACCTTTGGTCTGTGCCATGTGTCCCACCTGTATCACTCTTCCCCGTCAGTGCTCTAATTTTCTTCCAGAATATAAACTTTTTACAACTGAAATTGAAGAATCATCTGTATAATGTTTTTTGAACGTGCTAATGTTTACCACCAACTGTTTTTTTTTAATGTCTCTAAGATAACTGCTGCTCCTAACAAAGTTCTGTTTTCTCTACTTTCACTAGTGGAAAAAATACCCCAAAAATACCCAAATTATTTCCTGATATTGTGCAACTGGGTGTGACATTCAAACACTGCTGCTCTTCCTTGCAGCGAGGAAATACCACTGACCTGTAAGCCCACCCATTTGCTGAAATCAATGACACTACATTCACAGCCATCTGAATTTAATCCTGCAAAGCCGATTCTTCTCACATCCAGAGCTGCAGCTGTTACCAGCAGTGAGGGAGTCATTGCAGATAAAAACACAGGGCTGGAATTCCCCTGCCAGTTACTGAAACAGCTCCTGCTAGCTGACCTGGTTGCAATACTGTTCCAGGCTGTCCCAGGAGAGAAGTCATCTAATTGGGACTGTGGTCGTCTGGCACAATGGCACACATGGTGATGTTCATGTTTGGAGTAGATCTACAAAGGTACTCTCCCACAGAAATCTCCAGAGAGTCCATAAACGTAACCAAAACAAGCTGTGCCTAGTGTCACAAGGCATTGTGCTACTAAAATACATAGAGAGGATTTTTTTTGTTTTCTACATTTAAAAAAATATATATATATTTTACTTCAGGAGTTTAGATCTGGCTGTTAGTGTAAGAGAGGGTCCCAGCTTGGTGCAAATCTGCCAGTATGGCCAAGGAGGCCCCTTGGTTCTCAAATTCTGAAATGTTTCTGTCAAGGGATTTGCAGTATTTCAACTACATCTATTGAAATGGTGTTAGGCAGTACCATGTTTTCAGTGTATTGAGAAGAAGTTTTAGTTGATGAGTCTCCCTGCAGTGCCACAAAACATTTCTTCAGGTGTGCCAGTAGAACTGGTTGTGGAATTGCATGTTGTGGCCAAGCTCCACAACACGTGCTGTGGGGACGGGAACTTCCTGAACTAGTTTCACCAGTGCAGATGGATATATTGAACTACAGCCTTGTTTAAATTGATGCAACATTTTCATGGGGAGTCCGACCCAGAGGACTGCTGCTCCCAGTGTAAGCTGGAGTTTGGAGTCCTGACAAAGCACCAAGCTCACCTCCTGAAACGCAAAAAGGGACTTGCAAATTCCTGATGCATGCACAAAATAGCACATTTGATTAAGTACTGTTTCAGAAACAAGATGCGGGTAACAAAAGAACAATTATCACTCTAAAGGGACAAAATTATCATTGTTAAGGGAAGTGGAGGTATGTGGCTGAAGTTTTGGTCCAGAGATGTAATGTGTCCTGTTGTAGCTTCCTCCAAAGGCACATGGTGCAGCTCTGCTATCCTGAGAGCTCCTACTTGTGCAACCACACGGCGCTTGCGTAAGATTAATTCCACATCGTTCTCCTGGCCACGGGCTGGCTTTGGCTTCGTGGTGTCCCCAGTGCTATACAACTTCGTTGCTGTTGCAGAAGGGCAGTGGCTGCTCAGCAGGTACGTCAGGAGCTGCGGAAAGGTTGAGAGGAGCGACAACTCCTTACACCTGGAAAGGGTTTGTTTTAAGCACGGCAAAGGCTGCAAAAGAAATTTCTTAGGCAGGATTGAAATTAGCCGGCCCCGAATTTATGAAACCGAAATATCAGAAGCAAAGGCTCGGCGCGGGCTGCGGTGACGCCCAGCGGGGACGGGGCTCTGTGAGAGCGAGGGCACCGCCCCGCTCACAACCCCGACTGCGGCCCGAGTGTTAGCAAGTCACAGGTTGGAGTCGACGACCTCAGAGGTCTTTTCCAACCTAATTCATTCTGGGGACTCGCTGAGTTCCTCAGGAGCCCCGGCTCTGCCCCTCGGGCTCTGCGTCCCCTCACGGCGCTGAGGGCGTCGGGACCCTCGCCCGGCCCCGCCCCGCACTCGGCCCCGGAAGCGCTGGAGCGCGCGCCGGATGCGCGTCCGCCTTGGCCGGCCAAGATGGCGGCGGAGGCCGCCACAGAGCTGCTGTTCCTGGACACGTTCAAGCACCAGAGCGCGGAGGTAAAACGGGGCGTGCGTTCCTCGCTCCCTTCACCCCCTCTCCCTTCTTCCCGGCTGCTGCCCGCGCCGGGGCCTCCGCCGGCCGCGGAACCCCTGCTGGGGGCGGGCCCCGGCGGCGGCCGGGCAGGAGCAGCCCCAGGGCAGGGACCGCTGAGGGGCCGCCGCCGCCTCGCCCTCCCCGGCCCGAAGCCTTGTTCGAGCCGCTGTCCGGGCAGCCTGAGGTACCGCCGGCCGGGACGGAGGGTGGTGGGAAGGGAGCGAAGATTTAAAAGTGACGGAGAACAGAGGCGAGTGGGGAACAAAGAGGATAAACGTGCTTGCAGAAGGCGGTAAGGGAGGGAGCCGCGTAGAGGGCTATACCCGGCCACTTGTGAGGTTCTGATGCTCTTGTATAGTTGACGATGAGAAGAGGTGTTTGTTTGTGAGATATTCATTTGGATTTATGCAGTCTCTGTGCATCGTGCACAGATGAGTATTTATAGTTTTTTTCGGCAGTGGGAGATGGTGCAAATATTCCACTTCGAGGCCATTGGGAACCTGAGCATCCTTGAAACTGTTGGTCTTGCAGCAGGTTTGCCCAGGGCTCACTCTGTTTCGCTGTTCAGGGAGGAAGAAAGGGACCATTAGGAAGAAAATGATTATGTAGCGTAACATGACAAAGACGCTACAGAGTCATAGAATATCTTGACTGTGTTCATCGACAGGTGTTAGGGGAAGAAAATGGAGTATTTTGAGCTGATGCTGCAATCAAAAGCAATTAAAAAGTTATTTCTAGCTGTCAGGATCAGCTAGGTCCAAGTCTATTTTTAATTTAATTATTTCAGACAATGTTAGGCAGAAAATACTGGCCACTGCTGTTGCCCTGGGTAGGAAACGGTAGCCACTCCTGTTCCTCTCCAGGACAGTATGTTCACTTGTTGAACGTTTTTAATCGTGTACTAGGTTTTCTGGCACTTTCATTCTTGCCAGTGACATTATCTAAACCTGAATCATACTGAATTTTTATTAAAGAAAAATACAAAATGTATTTTCATGTTCCTTAAAGGCCTTCTTTATGTTATGCTAATTCTTAAGCTAAGCAGATCATGAGTCTTGCCTTGGAACTTGTAGTTCTTGAAAACTACTGCTGTGTTTTTGAATAAAATTAATTATTTGGCTTAGCTATTCAGTTTACTAGTGTTGAGCAGTTCTGATGTAGGGTTTTCTTTTTTTAATGTTTTGTAGAGAAAGTGTATTGGATTCACTTGCCATCTCGATGATGTTGATGAGTGGCTGTCAGGGCATAATCACTTATCATTTAAGGAGGAATTTGTTTTTACTTTGAGCAGTGCTCCTGGGTACAAAAGCCTTCCCAGCAGCAGCCGCCCTTCCTCCAGAAATCTAAGACTCCCACATGACACACAGACATGTTTTAGAGGCAAAGCAGTGGGCACCCACCACCCTCACTCCTTGCAGGCTGCACTTGCCTGGTTCCTATTAATGGATCTGTGTTCCCCGTCCTAGCAGGATTCCTTCAGTTCCAGCATCTAGCTTTAATATCAGCCCTTAGGCCAAGGTGTTGTATTTGTGGGCTAAAAAATGTATGCATAGATTTTTCTTATTAGATGGCAGCAATGTGTTCCCAAAAGCACATCTTAAAAGCTTTTTAAAACTTTACTTGTGTCTATTTCATTGCTTATTAGCTTTCTAAAAATCTTAGTACTTTCTTGCTTTCTGCTGGCTTCATTCATTTTGTGGTGAGTTATGTAAATTTTGACTGCCATTTTGACTTTTTAAATATTCATTTTTTTATTGGTAAACACTTGGACAAATAATTGATGTGTGTGTACTGTTTTGTGAGCTCATATATGGTAGAGGTGATGGATCAATAGAATAAGACCTAATACAGTTAATTTAGTGAGAGAAGACTTCCAGCATTAATTATTTGGTAGCTGCTACATGGGAGGTTACTGTGACTTTATGATTACTTCTTAGTTTGCTCAAACATCTTTTTGGATTGCATAAGAATTCTTTGTAATTGCTATTTCTGTGTGGGAAGTAGAAATGTTATTTGCAAAAGGTTTTCAGATGTTGTTTCAAAATTGGAGAAATAAACATATGGGATTTTTTGTACAGGTCTAGTAAAACAGATTTATAGTGTCATTACAATTTCTAGTGTTATATTTGAAATATTAAATTTGATAGTGTTTAAAGTTAAACCACATGTACCTTCTGTCTGAAAAAAACCTGTTACTGTTTAAAAGATTCTTGCAAATAAAGGTAGTGAATTATGTAAATAAACCGGTAACATTTTCTGTAAAAAATACTGTTAAACACCTGAAAAGTGCCACAAAATTAAGTGAAGAAAACCATTTTTCTGTCTAATAGTGTTTACATTTTACAGAATTGAATTTTATTATTATTAAGATTGCAGCCCTGGTTCTTTTAGTAAAGACTATGGCTACATTATGTTGTTTGCATTTTACCTTTCTTAGACTTTGTTTATTCTTTGTTTTGTAGCAAAGTACCAATATAGACGTAGTTCGTTTTCCATGCGTGGTTTACATAAATGAAGTCCGTGTCATTCCTCCAGGAGTGAGAGCTCACACAAGTTTGCCTGACAACAGGGCTTATGGGTGAGTGAAAGACACCGGGTATCTGAGTAAGGAACACCTTCCTGTTATTTTTTTTTTAAACTTTTATATCTCAATAGACCCTCCTATATAAAAATGTAAAATGCATTTATGTGTTTGCTGAACTTGTAAGTATTTTTGGGAATTACTTAAATAGTATAATTCTGGATTTTTTTTTCCCCTTGTTAGTCTTGCTTACTGTGCTGGTTTAAAGATAAACCAGCAGAGGAAATGAACTCAACTCAAAAGAGAGATTATAAGTCAGAATAACAATTTAATAAAATAATACAATAAATACGATTATAAAAACAATTGGTTTTAACCCACAAAACCCAAATGTATAACCCAGCACCCTGGGGCATGAACAGAGTGGTGTTCTTTGGGCCCCCTGAGTCCAAAGTAAAAGGAGAGGGGAAAACCTGTTGGTGAGAGTGCTGTTGCAGTCTGGTCAAGAGTGGTGATTGCAGTCCAGTCAAGAGTGGTGGTTGCAGTCTGGTTGAAAAGTGGTGGTTGCAGTCCAGTCCAGAGTGGTGGTCTGCAGTCTTCCTCTGGATCCCTAGAGTGGTTATAAAAGTTCCAAGACTCCAAGATTATATATCCTCCAGTTTAGGCAGGAATGCCCAGCACTTCCCTCAGGGCGGGGAGTTCCACAATGGGTGTGAGGACAGAAGCACCCTCCTGTCTCGCAGGCCTCTTAACACCCAGTTTATAGCCTGAGGAGTCAGGCTGCTCTGGGCAGAGGGTGCAAATAGTCTATTGACAACAGTTTCTGGGAAATGGCATGGAAGGCTATAGAATACACAGTTTTGGGTTACACCCATGCAGTGATGAACTGGTCCCAGCTGTTCTAACTAGGACACTTACTCTGATAAGGAGCTCGACTAATCTAATTTTTACCTTTGTTCTGTTTCTTAGAGAGACATCCCCACATTCATTTCAACTGGACTTGTTTTTCAACAATGTCAGCAAGCCAAGCGCCCCTGTTTTTGATCGGCTGGGGAGGTAAGCTCTTTCAAGATTAGTGTATGTCTTCATTATCTTCATTTTCTTCCTGAGAATTTTTATAGTGCAGAAAACGCACAGTAGAAAATTCTGTATCTCCCATGATTTTCATGTTTGGTTTGGATTTTAGTAGTTTGTGTACTTACCCTTTTCCTCCAATCTGTGTGGGAAGACAGGGTTTCATGCTTAAAATAAGAAAAGGTTTTGTTATTTTTAAACTTATATGTATTAATGAAAATAATTTTGTAGAAATAAGTGATTTTGTACTCTTGTTTTTATCAGTATGTATTTGTTCACTGTTTTATTATTGGCTTCTGTGTTTAGTACTGCTGTGTTTTATTTCTGTAAGCATGCTTAATATTAATGAAGAAAATGACTTTGTATATTTTATTTAATAGCCTTGAATATGATGAAAACACTTCAATTATTTTCAGACCCAATGCAAAGGTAATGCAATGTGATTTGAACTTCCTCTTCTTTTCCTACATATCTGTCGTTTAGGTATAAATATGTGGTGTATCAGCACTCTGTGAGGCATTTGTTGTTTAAAACCATATTCTAAAACCTGCCTGTAGTTAGATACTCCTTACCTTAGAGTCTTCCTGGTGGCTTTTTGTTGTTGTTTTTGTTTGGGGTTTTTTTTTCATTAATAGGCTGTAGTTGATTAGGGATCTATCTAGGCAATAGATATATTGCAAGGAATTTAATACTTATAGGGAAAGACTATTTGTTGCAAAGGCTGATGTATTTAAAGTTTTCTCAGTTTTCAAAATGTGGGATAAAGAGGTATTTTAATGTTTGTTTTTCCTCAATAACCTGAATATCTTACCAATTCTTTGGTGTTAAACCTTTGCCTGGTTATGACTTCATGCTTTCCAACACATGGATATTAAATTAACTTTTTTTGAAGTTGTCTTTTAAGTGCTTTTTTTTTTTTTTTTTTTTTAAAAAAAACCCCAACAGGTCAACACAGATGGGTTGGTTCTTAGGGGATGGTACAACTGTCTGACCTTGGCAATATACGGCTCAGTCGACAGGGTAATAAGTCATGAGAGAGAGTCGCCCCCTCCACCCCCACCTCCGCCACCACCTCCCCAGCAACAGCCTGGTTTGAAAAGAAATCCAAAACATGGTGAGCCTTGTGAGAACACACAGACTTTTTTTTTTTAAATCAGTGTTGTAGTAACCCATCTGAGAAACAAACTGCCAATCCTTTCACATTTTGGATTTCACTGGCTTTCAGTTTTGC